GGGCCCGTATCGTCTCCTCCAGGATGTGCACCTCGTCTGCCTTTCTCCTAAGAAATAAAAAATTACATGAGTTGTCCCGGCGCATCCACCAAAAATGAAATCAGATATTAATAAAACCAATATTTCTTATTCGTTTTGTGTATTTTTTCTAATTTTTTTTCTTAAAGAAGTAGCATTATTTCATGTAATGCGACAGACAAAAGTATTATTTTATTGTTTTTATTGTCATTACATTTTAAGTAGTGTAAAAAAAGGTTTGAGAATTTTAATAGAATTTGCTTAAGTGTAATATTTTTTTTTGTTCTTAGTTTACATGAAAAACAAACAAGAACAAGAATTTTAAGAAAACTATCTAATACCAATTACTTGCCTTCAAGAAACGTACATTTCCTCCTAACAGGGAATCAAGTGACGTTTTATTCCCTTGTTTTTGACTAATAATCTGTTTTTTTATTCCCTCGGGAATAAAATAAATGACATATTGAATTTTATTTTTAAATAAAACTGAAATTGAATAAATGGAATCTTTTGAGTATTTCTTGACATAAACAAATTGTTTGATACCGATTTTTACTCTTAAAATTGCAATTGAATAAACTGAATATTTTGACAATTATTTGACTAATTTATAATTTTTTTTTATGTTATTACTAATTTAGTGTTTTGGTAGGAAGGTTTTGTGTACATCTCTGAAATAAACATCGTTAATCTTTTGAATTAAAATGCCCTCGGCTGCCTTTGGTCACCTCTGGCATTGCCTACATTCTCGGCATTTAAATTGTTATTTATTCCCTTGATACATAAATAACTATCATTTGAGTAATAAAAATGTTTTTTAACATGAATTCTACAAAAAAAAAATATTATTATTGAAAATAGCGGAGAAATTGGCTTTTTTTATTTACGAAATACGAAAACACTATTTTGTGCATTATTTAGTACAGTTTTGTACTTTACACATCACATTAGACATTTACTGACACTCTAGAATTTCAAATAATAATTGAAAAAATATTCTTTATTGTTGTTATAAAAACTTAATAATTGTAATATATTTAATTTAGATAAAGATTTTCGAAATGATTAAATAAATATAATTGTTTTTAAGAAGATTTATTTTTGCCATCTTAGAAGTACGTTTTAAAAAATCGGTATACTACAGGGTAGTTCACATAAAAGTACGAGCCTGAACAACATTCACAAAATATTAGATTCAAAAATCAGATTTTACGTAATCATAACTAGTTTATTTAAGTTTAGCGTTATAGATGTGTGTTGTGAACGGATCACAATTTTTAATAGGCCCGGTGAGGTGTCAAATGTAACTTTCATTACGATGGATCGTTCACAATCAAACTTTCATGGAATAGCTTTAACGTCAAATTTAAAAAAAAACACCCGTTATATTGGACATCTTTGACGCAATGACATTTTTCTGGCAATATTGCCAGTTCTAAGGATGTCTGTGTAATGACAAACAAAACAATTAATTTTTGTGAATCAAATTGTCGTTAAAGTATTAATTACTAGATTTATTAAAGATTTTCAGTCGCGTAGTTTTATATGAAGCACCCTGTATGTAGCCCAAAAATAATCAGTTCTGCTCAATTTGACTGGCCTTGGTCTAAGTTTTTAAGTCTCATATTTCGTTTTTATTTTTAATGAAGATCAAACAATTTTTGCTACATGTCGTGTGTGTAGATTTATCAACTCACAGTTGACTTTAGAAGTACTAAGTACTAAGTGAATTAAGAACAACATAAATGAGTAAATGAAAGCAATACACTTACTTATTACCATAATATGTAGAAAAATTATTATTTACAAGAATTATGTACACAAAATTGTTTTTTTATTGTCATTTGGTCACAAAAATATTAATATATAAATTAAATAAACAACGATTTATGCACAGAACTCTAATAAATTTTTTGATGGCGAGTAAATAACTGTCAAACTTTCCGCTAATCATATTATCAGCAAAATTAAAATGATGATATATTTTTAGTACCTCATACATCAAAGAAAATAAGTCTTCATAAATTTCTTAATAATATTTTGAAGAGTTTATATTTAAGACTCGATCAATTATTCGAGGTGATTAAGCCATGAACGAAAATAGCACTGTAATGTTTTCTCGAAACTGGGGTGTTGGGTCTATCCCATTAACCCCAAAAGGGACGCTCCTCCTGACATTTGGCTGACTCCTTTGTTATTTTTTATTGAATGAAACGGCTGTATGACTCAGTGCCACGTTTGCACAAAACCCCCAAATGTCGTCAATATTTGCGAGCAATTCCGTCACCTTTGCTGATGCGACCGGTGCAGCTTGGTGTCTCTTATCGATTCGCAAACGTGAAATTTGAATCTAGGCCCCACGGGGGCACGGGCCTACCTCATGATCTCCTGCTCGCGCTCCTCCTCTTGCTTCTGCCGGACCATGACGGACTCGATGATGGCCCGCTCCTCGGGAGTGAGGTGAGACAGATCCGGCCCTTCCTCCATGCTAGCCCTTTCCGGACATGCCACCGACTATCCGTTGGAGAGGTCGCGGTCGCGCCGCGGCTTCACGTCGTCCATCTCAGAGCGGCACCGAAATGCAACAACATGCGGATATGTCCACAGGCGGCTCCCTTGGCGACGTCCTCTCGGGGGCACTCGCGACGCGGCTCTAGCGGACCACGGACCTTCGCACCGACTTGTTCGCGATTTTTTTCGATTGTCTCAGCCGTCGTCCGGCCAAATATCACAGTTTGCAATTACCCATTCATGTACCTTTAATAAATAATAGGATGAGTTAACGGATCGCCAATGGGAGGCCGACGTGGGGGTGACGTCACGCGATTGCGGTATTGATTTGGCACAGGAGACAAGCGCCCCAGCGCCACGGGATGCGCCGGACCATTCAAATTACACCCACGACGGCTGCGTCGCGCCCTTTCAAAACAGAAAGACATTTTACATCACCTACCCGGCGCATCCATAATTTTTGCAATCGTTATACAACAATCTCTCAGATTTTAATGTCACAATTAATCACAATTTTATCTGTTACACAAAATACATGTTTAAATAAGGTGTCAGGCTTATAGAGATTTTTTTAGAAGTGGCACCCAAGAAATTAGGATGTACAGGGTGACTCACTTATTTTTTTACCCTTACCTCCGAGAAAATTTAAATGCAACTATAGGCCACTTTAAAAAAAAAGTAGGTGACTGCAGCAGCCAGTTTCACAGTAATAATTATTGATTTAAATGGCAAAGTATGTTTAATAACTCCTCGTAGCAGCAAAGTAAAACTGGTTATCTATGCATTCGGAAATTTAAATTTTTAGTAATTATTATCATTATTATACAGGGATGCGCCAGAACTCGCGCCCCAGAGAAAAATGTCATGTAAGGTAAAAAAAAATAAATAAAAAAATTGTATCTAGAAAAATTTTGAAGTTATGAGAGTTTAAATTTTGCACTTTCTCTATTTATTTCTCTTGGAAAAATAGTTTTCCAAGTTTTTTTTGCTACAAGCTATTAGAAGAGGATATAAAGAAGCTCTATCCTAAATTGTAACTCTGTTTAATGTTATTTGTGGCTTTTATTGGCAATTTTTTTTAACTTTTACTAAAGAATTATAAAAAAAACATATACAATATCATCAGTGTCATTAAATAGACATGAAAAAATGTCAAATGTCAAAATTTTTTGACAGATAAAATTTTTTAAGCATTTTTTTCTTGTTCCTGGTATCTTATCTTGCTTGCAATTTTTCTCAGGGGCGCAAGTTCTGGCGCACTCTGTATAGTCAAACGAAAAGAGCTACCTAGTATTTTTTCTTTATTAAGTATTACACTAAAAGGAAAAAACAATTCAAAACTCTTGTTAAAGTGACACAAGTCAAATAATTCATCAACTTTCAAAATTATTTCAATCGTTTGAACTAGGCTGATACGCGTCTAATCCAATTTTAGCGTATTTTCTCGATAAACACTTCTTTTTTTAAAAATGAGATTTAGGTAAAAGTGAAATCACAGGATACAGGCTGTCCCAGAGCTCCGTATTTCTTCGATTACTCTGACAGTAAAGAAGATAACGAAATGCGGTTTCTTCTGAACGATAGACATTTATTTTTTCTATGTTCCAAAAATATTTTCGTCATTATAGGTAATTCCTATATAGGGTGGCGCAACAAAGTTATATTTTTTCTTATCGAACACTCGCTTATTTGAAAGTTTTTAATTCTAAGAATATCCATATTAGGTTTTATGGGTCTATCATGGACCGTTCATCATTTCTGGGCAATTTTATGAAAAAAAAAAATACCATTTTTAAAAAATCGCAGCGGCTTTACTGGAAAGAAAAAGTAAATAAAAACAATTGCAACTATTTTTACTAAGTCTGGTCTTAAATTATTATGGTTGAAATTCGATCAACCTTTTATAACTACTGCTGAGTGTTGACATTCGCAAAATATCAAATAACTTGATTTTTTCAAATGCAACACCCTGTATGTTATTACTTTATTAATAAACTTTCTAAAAAACTTAGGGTTTAACTTTACCTTTACCTAAACTTTACCTGTTTTATTGTACATCCTTTTAAACCTTTTAAACTTTTTCTATTTAGTCTTAAAAATCAAGTAGGTTTGCGTGACTTCCTCTTCTAAAAAAGTTATTTTTTTTAAAATAATTTGTATTCAGAAAATTGTAATTACATAATTAGAATTATTGTCAATAAAATAGTTTTAATTAGCTAGGAACATTTTAAAAATAAAAAAAATGTTAATAGAGTTCTTGGCATTTATGCAATAGAGGCTTCCAAACTGCATTTATGCAGATTTAATAAAAAATTGTTGTTTTTTAAAACTTTTTTTTACGTTTATAGATGCTTTTGTACAATTTATTTTTTATTATAATATTAATAATCAATAATCATTCATGTCACGAGTATACTTCTGATCTGCTGCGAAGTATTCAAATTTTGCGCTCTTCTTTAGTGAAATTTGCCATTTTCGTAACACTGACAGTGTTGACACCCCACAAAATAGTTAGGTTATGTTGACCGAATAATTCCCAATTTCGATTGAAATGTTACGAATAACTTCGAATTTTCGACTTTTAAACTCGTTGCCCGAGTACCTGCAAAATTATCAACCCGTACGATGGCGCCGGAAGCCTCTTTGGATGCCGACTGCCAAAAGCAAGCTTTTCAGAGTCCCTATACGGCCCCAAATTCCGGAGGAAGAAGACAATGAATTGAARCGACTAACTAACAATTACCGCACGGCCATGAAATCAATTCGAAGATTTTTAACTTATCGATACAGCGTCTCATTACAAGCGACAGCTGATACAGAGCAGTTGAAAAAAGCCTTTGAAGAGGATTTCTCACGATGTAAAGCTATAAATGATGAGTGGAATGCGGAATTGGAGAGGTTGAGGAACGAACGTATTGCGAGACAATTGGAGGAAGATGTTAAATTCGCGGAAAATCGAAAACAGGAATGGTTGAAACGTGAAAAGGAATTGTTGGCTCAGGCAGAGGAGATTGTTAGAAAGGAAAAGGAGATAGTGGCGACATTTATTACACCTGAGACGTTGGATGAGGCCATTGAGAAGGCGCTTAACAATCCTGTAGATTATAATTTTGCTATTGATTTAGAAGGGAATAAAATTGAAGGGAGGGAAACAACACCCGGGGAAAAAGTTCAAGTAAAACAGTAGTTTTAGCCATAAAAATTCTCTATTATATAATTTACAAAACTTAATAAATTATCACGAAAATAGCGWTTGTAAAAATTCTGTCCTATCTTCTTGAGTCTCTTCTTCCATAGGAACCTCCCCACTGGTCTCAATATTTTCCAATTCCTTATTGAGCACCTCTTTCCCTTTTTTCTTTTTATCCAAATTCGCCGTGAAGAAATTAGTTTTCTTCTTTGCTAGCTGTATCTCAGCCCTCAATTTTTGCCTCCTGGCGGCTTTCTCATAGGCCAATCTTTCATGCAAATGCGTCCATTTAAAATTTGATAAATATTTAATACTCCAGATACAATCAAATTGTTTGGATTTTTTGCGTGTACTAACTTGTGTATTATTCAACAATTGGACCACTCTTTTTGCTACTGACTTTCGTTCAAATTCCACCCAACCCTCCGTAAATTTCGTCGCCACTTTCCTCTTCGATTTTTTCTCATTTTTACCCTCTGTAAACATAAATTATATCCAAGAAAATGAGAATTAAGAACAAACCTGTCTCTGCAAGTTGAAGATAAACCCGACCGATTTTCCCAAAATGACCGAAAACCTCACGAATTTTCGTCACGTTCATGTATGGCGGGATCGTGGACAAGTAGATTATGCCCCGTTTGGGAGGCTTTTTCTGTTTTTTTGAACATTCAGGTTCCGTGTTGTTTACTTCCACCATTTTAAGGTTAACACGTGGTTAAATGTCAAGGAGCACCAACGCGATAAAATTAAAATTACTAAGTGAGTTTCGGACGAGGGTAATTTCCAACACGCCCGCGCACTTTTAATTACTGTTTGTTATCAAAAGAACAATATATGGTTTACGCAAACATCTTTGGTACGCTTTTATTGATTTTAATGCTGTAATTTGTTTTTTTTTAATTTGCGTTTTAGAGAGGGCGCTACAGTCGTATCAAAAATTTGTTGTGGTGAGTCGCATCTGTCATTAATAATTTGCCGAATCTGATTTTATCAGTAATTTTCTAGAAAATTGGATGAAAATCTCCTGAAAACGTGAAAAAACACGTATACGATGTCAAACATCAGCCCCACGGGTAAGTCACCCCAAAATTTATTTTATTCTTTAGAGACTGCGCCACCGACCGTTTTTTCGTGGTAGTTTGTTGTTTATTGACAAATAAGTATTGTTCGAAACCGAGTATTAATACGGTTCAGTAAATGTCTGCATTTTTTCTTCGCCACTCTCTCGCATGACGTGTCAAACATTCCCCGTTAGTTTTGACATTTGCCCCTCTTTCTTCGCCTCGTTTGTTGATATGTCCGTGTTTATGGCCCATTTAGACTCAAATAATCATAAAATATTTTTTAAATGTTAGTGTTGAGTGATGTGTTTGTAACCTTCGCCCTGAAGGTGCGTTCGAAAAACGCGAAACGTCGCGCATGACATCCGCCAGCTGGTCGCGTGAAAATCCCCGAAAATGAGTACCGAAGACGAACACAGTCTAGATTACATCGAAGATCCCTATTTCAATCCCCAGACGAGCACGGCAACCCCCAGCCTCGACGAATTCGATTACGACGTCCTCGAAACCGAACTCGAATTGTTCGATCTTCGGCAATTGGATTTCGATGAGGCTAACTGCAATAGTTTGCCTCACAACGACGAATCGGTTAACGTAGAAGCGGAATTTTTTAACGTAAAGCGAGCCAATGCCATAATTCGGGCCTTCTTCAAGAAGGACTTTAAGCGGCAAGTGCGCGTCACGTATTGCGATTTAACTAAACCATATTTAGCCAAATTACCAAAAGACAACAATTTTCGGAAATATTTAGATATTAGTGGCGATGGTGAGGCGAGATTCTTGATTTTTAAGAGATGAAAATACTGTTTTTGCAGAAGAAGCGATTCCGGTTGATAATCACGTCGTTAATGATCTATCAAGTCTCTCCAACGAAGAAAAAGAACGACAACATGCTTTATGGAACGAGGAACTGGCCCAAATCGAGGACGAAATTGCCACTCTAAGAACCGTCTTGGCGTCAAAAATGCGAAGAAGCGCCGAACTGAAACGGAACTTGGGGATCACGGTGTGGAAAGAGGTTTCAGAGGATATCAATCAAGGGTTAAAGAATGTGAAAGAGAGCAACGTGTAAGAATTCATAAACTCGTAGCTTATTAGGTGCATGTTAATGCATTTTTTTTTTCATTTGAGTAGATATCAGACCGTGGAAAGTAAAGTTGGTCAAGTAACAAAAGCTGTAACGGATGCCCCAATGTAAGTATCGCATGGCTTGGTTGTTTTATTTGACCGGAATTGCGATTCTCGCTATAAAAATTTGTTAGCAACGAGAGTTTTAATTTGTAGTTACCAGAAGACAACATCTTTGATTGGGGGAATCACCGGGAACATTACGAACAAAATCGGTCAAATGCGCCATTCCGAATCGTTCCGCTCAATAGAGGAGARAGTCGGAAGTGCATACGAAAATGTRAAGGTAGGTAGGTCAGTGCAAATTCAATGGATGGTTTTAATTTGTTTTTCAGACGAAGGTTGTGTCTCGTTCCAACTCGCAACAGAGTTTGGACGAGGCCGGTAGGTCTCGATCTGGATCGGTGGTTACAAGTCCAACGATCCCAGAAGACAAGCCGTTGGCATAGTTTTTAAATCAAAAATCACTGCTGTCCCGGCCAAGAATGCCTTCATTGCTTTTTTGAATTGGTCGTTACTAATTTTTGAGTTAGTTACGTTCTAGTTCCTTAGTTTTGGTTTTAAGATTTAGCTTGAGACTTGATAACCGTTCACAATGGTTGAAAGAGACTTAGAAATAAGTTTAGGTTTTGTACAGATTTTAGTTCTGATTACTATTTAAGAGAATATTTTCCATACTGATATGGCTCTATAAAGGTGTATTACTAATGTAAGCATGGATTCAATAAAAATTAAGCGTAAATTTGGTTTTTGTCATAAAAATACACCCAATCAGTTTATCAATTTATTTTATTCTCAACAAACTTAATTAAGTAAATAAAAAAGACTAAAACTAGATCAACTAATCTTTTTGTGAAGGGGTTCCGACGTTCTTTCTTTCTTAAATATTATATTTCTAATATTTTGGAATGGCATCTCTATTAATAAAGTTAAAACAACAGACAAGAACCAAACCCAAGTCAGTTCTTGTAAGTTGAGTAAAATTTTAAAAAACCCATAATGTTGGGTTGTTCTGGTAATACCAACATTGTAGAAGAAAACAGGGAACTGTGTCAAGTACACTGTGTAGGAGATTTTGGTCCAGAGTGAAAATGGTGGCCACGAGAAAAACCGTTCGAAAAATCCTTTATATCCCAAATGACTAGTAAAAATAATCCAACCGAAGGAGAAACACCAGAGTATAGGGGCGAACGCGGCATACCATGCCGCATCTGTGGGGTTGTACACGTAGTCTATACTCCCCATGAAGGCTGGGCCAAAAAGGGAAGCTAGAAAACTAAGGAGGGCCACTGTGTTGCCAATTCGGAGCTGACTCTAAAAGAAAAATAATATTTTTTGGCTTTTGTATGTTATTTAAGAAATTACTTTGCTTAATGTGGTGTTTCTAAAATTCCTCAAAATATAACCAAGCAAAACTCCCATGATATATACAGTGGCTCTATGAATCGGAATAATGTACATATTGTCGGCTGTGTCAAACAACTGAGTGATTCTAAAAAAACAATTATTATTATTGTGATTTGTGTGAAATTACTTGACATTACGATGTCCCAAAATGAATATAATTTGATAATTTCATAGTATAGGTGACGTAATAGCGCCATACAGTCGAAGCGAGTGCCAAAAACGCCAAAACATAGACACCTCTTTTTGGCCATTTCCATAGCAACAAGGCAAAAAGTGGCGAAACGAAAAACAGTTGAGTGTCGATTCCTACGTGGTGTGTGTGCGTCAAACACTAAAATTACGACTTTAAAACCGATCGTTATTTGTTTTATTATTACCATATCCTTAAAACCGAAATAATTATGAATAAATAGTAAATTCCTCCACCAGTATTTTTTGCATAGGTCGGAATGATGTGTTACTACTTGATTCCACATGGGCCCTTGATTCATCCAGGGAAGGACAAAAGTACAAAATGCGATCAATGCGGCAAAAGTGGGCAAAATCCGGAAAAGGCGAGAAATGTATTCTTCTCGGATGCTAATTTTTCCATTTTTCTTCAATTTGCCAAGAAGGGAATATGCCGTTAGAGTGCCCGAAATGAGGATGAAAGGGTCGGTGTAGAGACTAGCCGCTCGGCCAATCACGGTCCAGGGCCGGGAAACAAACTGCAAAAAAAATTGTAACTTTAGAATCAGAAATGATTTGGACAAGTTTTTTGCACAGAAGTGTACCTATACAACGATAGTATCTTTTTACACTTTGTTTAATTCAAATTTATTAATGGCGCATCGTGATTGGTCTGGGAGGCCCATCGCTTAACAACAAGATGCGTTGTTTTTGACAGTTTCATTCATTGATTTCGCCTCCTGTTACTCCATTCCATAGTGGGGAGGTGTGTCGAGCATCATTCACAAAGCGCGACCACGCCTCACACTTACTCGTCTCTCATGCTCTCCTGGTCGAAAATAGGGAAATTTCCCTCGAATTCGACGCTTGTGGCCGCTGGAATCAATCACCCACGCCGCGCATGACCAAGGTCAATGAACAGGACCATGCCGTGATCTAGGTGAGATTGCGGTTCTGCGCCAAACACCTCCTCGAATTCATCTTTTCCTGATCACAAAATCAAGAAATTCGCGTCTGAAGCGCCAAGCGGTCGTCGAAGATGGGCGAGAGGGACAGGAGTAGCAGGAGGTGGCGGAGGTTGGCTAATTAGAATAAAATGACTCAATCGAGGTGCAAGGTTTTGATGATTTTTGTGATAGGTCTTCGAACCTTGATATGCATTTTTAACAAATTGAGATAATTAAGTCAAATTGTTGTTTGTTGTACAACAAGAATGTTTGAATAGATAAATATCAAATGACTTATTGTGGCTTTTTGAGGAAATATTTATCATAGTTGTGTGACCTTGGACGGCATTCCGACGAGTAAAGAATATTTAGGATGAGCCTTCAATTTTTAAAATTCTTTCAGACAAGCCTACTACATCATAGATGCATTTTTAAATTAAAATGGAGGTCATGGGTATCATGTGGTGCATTCAAACCGGCCCCTTATTGGCCAATTCGAAATCGTTACGAATCCAGAGTGCCTTGATTGTCTCAGTGACTGTCATTATTATCATAATCCAATGACAGTATTGGTAAATGCTTGCACAAATCAATCATATTTTTACAAATTGAAGGATTTAAAAATTGATTAATTAGTATTTATTCTAATTAGTTGCGTTTTCTTGATGTTTCCAGTTATGCAAGACTTTAGTAATTCTAAATCACTTTCTCCGATTTGTGAAAAACCGTGATTTATGAATGTTCATGCATGCAGAGCCAAGATGGTCAATCTTTTGTTTTGAGTAATTAGTTATTTATGTAATTCCACGTCGCGAAATTTTACCGGTGTGAATGTTTTTTTATTTGAATGGGGTCATATTTTAACCTATGAGAAATATTCCGTTATATAACAAATGAATTTGCGGTTGTAAACTGTTTAATAGGAGCCAATAATCTGGTGTGGTTTACTCGCAAACGTATTATAAGTAAATGAGAGAAAAAGTTTTTCAAATCGTTAGTGAAAGTTAGATAATAAATCGGTACAATTAAAGAGATTCTGACAGACTTGTCCGGGGATTTATGTGTCGTGGATGTTTGCGAAATTGCCGGTGATAAAATGTTAAGAAAAATATTAAAAGTAAGAAGAAAGTGTTGGGTTTGTAGGTAGGAAAGTAAAAGGACACTTGAGTGGTTTTACTACAAATCAAAAGTGGTTGTTGCAATTTGATTTTTTTGTTAGATAATCCTTACCCAATTCTTTTCTTATCTAGGTTCAATTTATTCCTCGAAGTTACTTTGTTAGTTAATAAAATATGATGTGATAATTATCTTGTGAAAAATAAGACTTTAATAATAAGTATACGGACAGAAAACTTTATATTGAAAAATAATCGAAAATTAAAATAAACACACCATGTAAAAATTTAGGCAGAATATTGCGAAAAATATAACTTTTCATGTATGAAATGTAATTTTATGTAATAAATATTAGCCACAAATATTTATTCTACGCATTGTTTATTTACATTTAAATAAAATAAATTAAAAATTTTCTACAAAAATTTGAAAGTATAATTATTATGTCAATAAATTTAATAAAAATAATTTATAATTTTATTTTGTAACATTACTCAATGACGTATCCATTGAAGCAAAAGAGGCAACAACTATATTCTCAAATTGCATGTTCTTTGATATAAAACAATTAACTTTTTTTTTTGTAATAGAATATACAAAAAAATATGTAGTGGCATACCCATCTTTGAGGTCGTAGATCAGTACCGAATTATCAAAATTTAATGAATGTCTCTTTATCTGAATAAATTTTTAAAAGCTCATAAGCCAAATTTTATGACTCATAAGATATTTTTAATTATGTAAGTTCTATTTTCGAAGAGTTAATATTGGTAATATAGACAACATACATTATCAATGTACAGATCATTACAGACATAATTTACTCTTTGAACCCTCGTCGAATATTTTTTCCGTATGTCTTTTGAATACAACAATATAATCCAATAATAAATTTTCGTTATTTTTTAAGAATTTATAATTTTTTATTTTCACATAAAATACCATATTTATTCAAAGTTAGTTATTTCTCAAAATTAATTGTACTTAATAGTATATACGTCTTTTTAATTAACTGCACTTGAAAGTTGACATTACTCAATACACATGTATTCCATAAATGAGTAATCCTGAAAAGCCATTTTCTTTTTGCGGTGGCGTGAAATATTTCAAATAATATCGAAAGTTGTTTTATTACAATAAAATGAACCATATATTAAAAAGCAAGACCACCATAACAATTACATTCACACCGGTAATTATTTTTTTCAAGGTTTATTGTCGCTTAATCCAACAGTAATAAATTGATAATGAATTAATCTAACCTTCTGAAAGATCATGAGCGTCGCAATAAAAGTTTGTGTAAACAAATTACCCAAAATGATTATTTTCGAAATGTAATAAGCACGAAATTCTTCAACCTTGCGAATGCAATGATGTGTGCAAAATGACAATTCATTAGCAATAATTGCAATAAATGTAAGGAAACTTTAATTCGGTACATCCTGACGCAACGAAATCCAAAAACCCCCAAGTCAATATTGACTCGGTAATTCTCATTTCTCACAAAAACAACACTCAATTTTACCTCGATCATCTCCGTCCGATTCATATACGGCGTGAAAAACATGGCCATGCTTTTGTGAGCCAAAACCAGCAGAAATGCGTTCAAAAACCGAATCCCGTGGATGGCCTCGATGTCATCACTCGATTGCTTTACAGTGACCAAAGTCGTCCAATTTTTCTTCAAAGAAAACGCCACCATCCATTTATTTTTCTCTCCGAGGGCATAACAGTCATAAACCGTACTCACAACCACCAGAAGGACAATTCCGGCGAAAATTCCCCTGAAACATGATTTGCAGAATTTCGGTCGCACTTGACGAAAGTGAAATTACGAGGTGATGATGGTCGAGGTCGGCAACGGTTCTTTTTGGCTTGATTGGCACATGTCTGGTTCGACGAGGACTCGAACTGCTAAATCGGTGTTTTTGGTGATTGTTTTGATTTTGGTTCGGAGGGCGAGTTGGACGTCCGAGGAGGAGCAGGCGTTGGGGACGCAGAGGGCCCAGTTGACGCTCGAAAAGCGGGGGACGCGATGCCCTGGCTTTTAAAAATGTTAAAACTGATGATCGTTTCGGGTTATGTAAGATTGTAAATGTTGGTTCAAAGTTGGGAAAAATGAAAGCTTCTGTGAAAATCGGTATTGTGCAAATTGATGAAGTAAAGAGTAAAGGTCAATGTCATTAAAGGATTTATCAAGTTCACAAATAAGCCTTCGGTTTCATTTGCCGGAAAAGTATGAGTTGAGGGTCACTTTAGTTGAATAATTGCGACTTTTTAATAATGCCTCAAAAGTATAATTATTATTACATTACAACTTAATTTTCAGCTTATTTTTTTTACAATAACTGTTAACTGTTTTTTTATGAAAATATCAATTGAAAAACAAGAATTATAAAATTTAAATGTTAAAAACTTAAATTTATAATATAAAATTTAGATATTGGCATTTAAAGTAAAACATATTTTATGGTTTTATGCGGTTCAATTTTAAACTAGTCATATTTTTTTAAATAAAAATAGTGACAAAATATATAAAATAAAAGTAAAAGAAAAATAAGGAGTACAAAGGTTGATTTTAATGTTTCAACAATTTTGCAAAATATTTTTTTTATTTCAATAAAATGACATTAAAAACAAAAGCTAAAACGTATATTTTTAATGACATCACAATTCAGAAAGTCCGAATTAATCGATTGATAGTAAATAAAATACAAATATACAATGTTTCTTCGGAAAGGTGAAACGACTCGTATAAAAGATGAACAAAATTCGATTTATATTTTCATTTTTACTGCTAGGTTTAATATTATTTTGAACATAATTTTTGTTTTGAAAAATCAAGTATGTCTTAAAAATTAAAAAAAAACTATTTTTCAAATACAACAAAATGTTATTAGGAAAAATTGTTTAGAATCAACTTTGAGGCTCCTATACAAAATTTCGAAATCATCAGCCAACTATGATTTTTCATTTTTTTTCTAAGATAATTGCTTTTTTATTAACAGAAAAATAAAATATTTATTTATTTATTTAATACTAATAATCTACATGTAAATTGTTTTAATTGTAATAAAAGAACTGTTAAAAATAAAAATTTTTGATTTGTGAATTAATAAACATAAAAAAATGGAAAATCATACTTGGCCGATGATGTTGTTTACGGGTATAGATGTTGATTCTAAACAATTTTCTTATAACTCTTTGCCGTATTTGCTACATAAAAGGCACTTTACTTTACACAAAGATAGGTTTTTTGAAAATTTCCAAGGCATATCTACTTGATTTTCCAAAACGAAAATTATGTAGAAATTAGTCTTTAACTAAGCAAAATGTGAGGATTTTTATCTTTTACAAGAGTCGTTTCACCTATCTGGGGACACACTGTATACGATGAATTTGATCCATTTTTCTCCAAGGGGATTAGGTGAAATTGAAAGGGTTAAAGGTAACCAAGTCGCTTCCCCAGTTGTAAAAATTTAATAACTTAATGTAGGAAGATGTTTCGGCATCATCAGCCCAGATTTGAATTACATTAAAAACTGAAAATTGTCATTAAAAATATTAAAATTTAATTTCAAACCAAATTACTTGAAATTATTTAAAATTACAAAGGTGAAACGGGAGGGTATGGTSAAGCCAACACCTTCGCAAAATGGTCATGTCTTGAAAGGAAAAATAAAACAGTCTAAAAAAAGAATTATTTCTGTTCTTTTTGTATCCACATTTTTTGTTCAATGTTTTTTTCTACCACTATTTCTGGAAGCTTCCAGTCACTTACGTCATCGAGCTGACTCCTGAAATGTTGATGCGACTGTGCCAATCTATGCAACGCTAGAATATAAGGACTCGCTRCTCCTGCTTCTACTTGCATAGAAGCAAGGCARTATTTCCCTCTAATATCTAGACTTCTKTCAATGGCTTGTAAACACAAGTCGAAATCGCCTAATTGATTAACATTCCCGTTCAAAATCCCCGTTGGTAATTTCGCCGACGCATCATACACTAAAACGACTCATTTAACTTGAATCCCTCCTCAAAAAAAAATCATTACTTTTGAGTGCCCACAACTTGAATTTGAGCAACTCTTCGACATACTTCTGGCTCTGCCTTTTGCAATCCTCGCCGACTCCCTCGACTTGACTCATGTCGAACGGTGGGACCATTCCGAAGACGAAATCGGCAAGTCGATTAGCGGTCGTTTCATAGTTGAAGTCTGATGAAAACACAAATTATTGTTAAATTAAGGCCACTACCGGCCGTGGATTAATCCGGTGTGTCGAAGGGCGATTTTGGAAGGTGAAAATACAAAATGTCACAAGTTCCGTTTGCAAACGAGACTTGTTCACTTTCCCAGAGAATTTGAACTTGACCAAGTGGTGGCAAGGTCGTGCTTTTACTATTTGCTGCGTGTTCTACTTGTTTTTATGGCACTGTTACTTTTCGCCAACGAGGTGGGAGAGTAATTAACTAAGCATTCACCGGGTTTGTACTTAATTAATTCATTGCACACGGTTTGCTATAACTGATACACTAATTGAAATTGTTGGACTATCAAGGATTTCTTTTGTATTTAGATAAATTTGTATTTTAATGCCGTACATTTTCCTTATAAAAGACCTGGAAATGATTTACTAGACGGGATGCGGGACACTGCGAGGTCGCAGAAAATGCATTACAACAAGTGTTTTCATTTACATTATTAAATTTATTCTATGCGTGCACCTTGCAGCTATTTCTATTTTTATAAAAAAAAATAAATTAATATTAATTTTAACGCGCATAGAATAAAACAGAAAAAAAATCAAATAAACATTATTGCTATGGTTTATCTGCTTAGTACTTAAATATTCAATCTCCGTACTTCGTACTATGATACGCGTTGTTTAAATTAATCACATTCGTGGGTTCGAGAAGATTCTAACCAATTTTTTTGTTCTACAGTTCAAAGAACAGTTCTCTAAAACAGGCTATTTTTTTTTAAAGTTAACTGGTGTAAAGTCTGAGGAGAGATGCTACAAATTTAAAGAAAAAATAAATATTGAAAAGTTAATTGAAGAGTTAAAAATACCTGCTTTGTTATTATTTTATAATTGTTAATTATGAAAAAAAAGTGCAGTATTTTTCAAAATTAATATTGAGTACTTGTATATATTTTTAGTTTTATGGTATAAATTCCTTTGTTTAAAGCGGATTTAGAACTAAAAATGTTTTTTTTAATAACCAAAAACATACATTGATTCTTAATTTGTAGTCTTTTCGATGTTTGTTGCTTTATGATGAAAATTTATATTTAAATTTCTTTGGACAATCAGCGAATTTTTCGTGTTTTTTTTAAGCAACAAGTGAAAAAAAAAGAGAAATAAGGGAGTAAACAAAAAAATTGCAGAAAACTCTCTACACATACCTACTTGTGAAAATATGTAGAGCAAAAGTTTAACTCAATCTCAAATAAGATTATATAATATTAAATGAGAAACCTAGCAAGTTACGTTTAATTATTACTTTTCCAGTAGTGCACACTTGCAATAACTAGCGTTTGAAAATGTTACTCATTAAAATTTCCCAAACCGAATTGAAATGAAAAATGTAAATATACCTAAACCATTTATTTGTTCTCAAATAATTGACTATTTAAATTCGTGTTAAAAAGTTTATTTTTTTCATTATGACGAAGTATTTCGTTCTTGCTTTGTCATGAAGAAAAATTTTATGATCGTGTTGTTTATCGTTTTATTTATAAACTAAAGATGAGCGCTAGCAAAACAAGCTCGCGAATCTGAAATGGAAATTGGAAGGAATTGCGTTTTTCACAACAACGCGTGATTATCTCATTCAATAATTTAAAAAATATTACATAATTTTAAATAAATTAAGGAGATTCCAATAGTTGTTTTGTCTCTAATCTGTAATTTATTTTTTTTGTTATTGTAATTTGCTAAATCAGGAAGCGAGGTATTATTCGCAAAACGATCAATCTTCACGTCTGGCAAAAATCCTTGCGAACCACTTCCGCGTCTGAAACCGCGCGCTGAAAATCCGCTCGCTCAGCGCTTTTCAGGTCGCCTACCTTCTTCCATGCACTTGTCGACGTTTTTCAGGCACAGTTTTCCCGTTTGCTCAGCATTGAGTAGCGTTTTCTCTTCGATGGTGAAATTCCAGACGGGCACTCGAGGAAAACTCGTCCGGTTCCAGTGGAACTTAGCATGGGTCGCCAGGACGCCGGCGACCAGAAACAACAACACTTTTTTCATTTTTTGGGACACCCCCGGTCACGACGGAACGACGTATGACCGTACACAGAATTGTCAAAGAGTTTTCTTCGATTGCGGGTAGGGGAAGTTACCCAATGTGTGAGCCCCCACCTCCACGCCGGGACTGTTTTTACCATTCAAAGAGTTTTAGAGGCTTGTGGGAACTGAAGAACCGCCGATTGCGAAAAAAAATTTTGCACAAGAATTGGTCCGATGACATTTGGGGAAGAGTTTGGGTCAGGTGTATGGCGGTAGTTCATTGTTTTTAATTTTTATTTCATTCTAACACGCTGTGAATAACTATGCCCCAATTTGGGTAAAGGTTTAGTCAAAAAATTGGCAGTGACATTGACCAGAAGCAAGGATTTCACATTAAAGTCGAAAAAAAAAATAGAAATCTTTTATTGTTATGTCACTGCCATTGTCATTTCTACACTTGTAACTTTACTCACATCAAATAAAATTCTTTTCAACGGATACAGGGTGCGTCAGAACTCGTGCCCCAGAAAAAAATGCCATGTATAAGGTGGGATATCAAGAACATGGAAAAAATGTTAAAAAAAATCTATCTATAAAAATTTTGAAGTTATGAGAGTGTAAATTTTGCACTCTATTTATTTCTGTTGGAAAAATTATTTTCCAAGTTTTTTGCTACAGGCTATTTTAGAAGAGGAAACAAGGAAGCTGTATCATAAATTGTAACTCTGTTTCTTGTTATTTGTGGCTTTTATTGGCAAAATTTTTGTATCTTCACTAAATAATTATAAAAAAACACATGCAGAATCAACAGCATCATTAAATAGACAAAAAAATGTTAAATGTCAAAATGTTTTGAATTTTTTAAACATTTTTTCCATGTTCCTGATATTTATCTTACTTAAAATTTTTCTCTAGGGCGCGAGTTCTGACATACGCTGTATAGTCTTATAATCTATGGTCCTTTGCTACTTAATTTAACTTATTTGGGGCCAAAAGAATATAATTTTAGTTTTTGAAAAAAAAATTAATAGTTTTTATCGCAAGAAGAAATATTTGTTTAAGTTTTAAATTAGTTAAAACAAATAAGATATATGTAAATTTAGTACAAAATTAGTTATGCAATATAAAGAAAATCGTAAATTGGAGAAACATTCATTCTCTGTATTAACTTTTTTATTTATGGAAATACGGGAAATTTTTATTAAAATATTAGACTAAATCATCAACTCATAGCTTCTTTTTACGTTTAATTAATTTTTGGATCATTCTGTGTACTTCCTCGAAATTGAAAAGTGGGTCATGAACTAACTCATGACAAAAGATTTTTTTGGTTTATATTTGGGAACAACTTGGGAACAAAAAGAACGTAATAAATCTTGTTGACCAAATGTATACGTATGGAGGTATTTCCCGCATTTTTTAATTCTGCTTGTGTTAAACGGCGTTTTTTACCACAAGGAGGATAAAGATTGTCGGCAAATATTGGTGTAGAATAAGTAAACGAAAAAAATTGGTGTTACCTTGACCACATCAAGTTCATTGCTCAGTCTGTCTTATTAAGATTCACCAGCAAACAAAAGACGATCATTTTTTGAAAAATCCGTGAAAAAAATTGATGAGATGTGAGTCATCTTTGGTCATTTTACATTTACTTGTGCTAATTGTTTGCAAGGTGAGGTCAATGAATTTCAGATCTGAATTTTGGAAAAGCAAAGTCCACCATGGTCTAATTCGTTGGTCAAATTTTTGAGTAATGATGATTCTTAAGTTTTGTCTTGGCACAAAGTCCAATAACCGAAATTTGCAAGTCATAACATAATTAGTGCAAGAATGTTAAAATTTGGAGTCGTTTGCTTAATTGTCCAAAATTATGAAACAACGTGATTCTGATTGTTAGGGCGTGTTTTTGAATAAACAATTTAATATAATAACATTGTAATCAAAATAAATAAAATTACATTTACGCAAGATTTGTTTTTTTTTCACTTCAGGTGCTGTCTTCTACCACCAACAAATCTTTCCTTGATCTCATCTATTCCGCTTAAAAATCTACATAAAATTATCATTCGAAACACAAGTCATCACGTAACTATTTTACTTTCAAGTTGCTCAAATAACCTAATAGCGAAGGTGTGACAATACTACAAAAATAATTCGCTTTTCGCTCAAAAAGCTCATTTTACCCAGTTATGGTCATGGGCGGCTGATGTGTCTCATTAGCATAATTACCAATTGCCCAACGTGTGAAAAACAGGTGTTACAGTTTAAGGCGTGTCCTTAAGACAATGACTCAAGATGGTTTAAGTCATTTGATGACTTAATGATGTTGCCTTTTTTTYAGTATGTRGCGTTATGTAATTCARATTTTTGCTAGTGTACYAGATCGAGAACTAACGTAACCTGCTTTTGCATAGCAGGTGCCGATTTTTATTGAGTAAAAGGGAAGTGTTACACTAGTTCGAGCGAAACTGATTTATTTAGATCGAATAAGCGATGGCGAAATTTGCCAAAAAGTGAACAATGAATAGAGAGTTAAATAACGCGTCGACGTTATTAATAATTATTATCATAAATTTCCATCTGTTTATTAAAAATGTGCCATTTCTGATATATCCCCCATAATCAGTATAATTATAAAATCAAATAAATAATTTTGTTTTTATGCCCAGTTTCGATGAATCAAGGCCGATCAATCCATAATCCTGTCTCAGGACTGTCATCACAAGAATGTAACGGTATTGTGAAAAAAAGTACAATACATTTTGGATTCAAATTTAACCAATAGGTGGGTGTACCAGGAAAATATCTTCAAGGAAAATGCTAATGCAAAAAAAACAGTTTAAAAAAATATTACGACATTTTGTAATATATTTATTTATTACTGGCACACTGTAATAACTGTTATTATGGTTATTAATACTTTTCATAAGAAAATGCTTAATAATTAATATTATTGTTTAATAGTTATTTGTTCGATTAACAAGACGATATCTCACTTCAGATTAGATTTATTTACACCATTCTTGCATAATTAATGTGCTTGCATTTTTCTAAGAAAGGTCAAAGTCAAGGGCATATTTTTGGTTCTTGGGGTTTTTGTTTGGGGTTATATTGTTTATAATTGATAATTAAAGCACAATCACACAAATAGTGCGAAAAACATGTGATTCTCACTTTTTATTAATTCAAAAGGTTTTTTTTAATTTGTAGTCAACGCGTATTACACATGCGTTTATCTGGTTGCCCGTTCAGCACATGTAACTTATTTTGAAGAAAAAATCTTTGAATAAAATTAAGCATTTTTTACACAAAGTACAAAAATTAATTTTTATTAAAAATCAGTTTCCAATAAGGAGCATCAAGTTTTTGCTAAAAAGGCCAGCCAGTAAAATAGGAATCTGTATTGTCAATGTCAAACATGTGTCAAGTGTCAAACCATGTTCAAATGTTAGAATTTCTTAAACATTTTTTTGCGGCTTTTTACTAAACATGTATCATAAAATAGGTAGTGATTAAAGTGATTATACGATGAATGTGTGTCGAGTGTGTTTATGTGACAAAGACTTAAAAGAGTTGTTCGCCGTGAGCCCTCATACCAGTGCAGTAAATTTCCTGGCCCTGGTGCAGGTATTTATTTGTTTATTATAGTTATTTATAGTTTATTAATTGTTTTTAATAACTTTGTAACGTTATCTGCATAAATCAGTATCATGAAAACTGATTTTTTCAGATACATAAAAACGACGGTCTTCCTCAACTCATCTGCCCTCAATGTCTCGTTGAACTCGACACTTGCGTTCGTTTTTTCGATAAATGTTTATCAAGTCACAAAAAACTTGAAAACCACAAATGTCTTAAATGTGGCCAAATATACCCTTCGCATAAATCTCTAACAATCCACATAAATCGCCAACATATCACTACAGTTATCGTACAAGGAATAAATCAACGCACATCGCGCCAACAGTGCCACATTTGTGGGAAAGTTTTCACATACAGGGTCGAATTGAGCCGGCATTTGTGCTCTCATATAGGCTTGAGACCATACAAATGTGATAAGTGTGACAAAAGTTACATAACTAAGGCCTCCCTTAATAAACATATCACAAAACATGAAGGTCTGAGGAGATTCGAATGTCTTCTATGTAATAAAAGTTTCCTTCACCAGGACAACTTACAAACTCATTTGAAAACACACAGTGAGAAAAAATATGAATGCAGGGTGTGTGCAAAGAAATTCAAGTCAAATCGTTCACTTCTCATGCACTTGAAAATCCATACCAACGAAAGGGACTTCCCGTGCACCGATTGTGAGAAAGCCTTCGTAAACAAATACGACCTATTACGACACTTGAAACTACATGAGAAGAAAAGACTTATCGCAAACAAGACTTATGACTCTACTAAAGACGATTTGCTCAAAACGAAAAATTTGAGACAGTGCGAACAGTGCGGGAAAATCTGTTCGAGTCATGGCGACTTGCTGAAACACATGAGAGTCCACTCGGATGAACGACCTTTTTCTTGTAAAAGTTGCCACAAGGGGTTTAAATCAGTCAGTAACCTGCGATGCCACGAGAGGATACATACAAAAGTACGAAAATAAACACCACTGAAGAAATAATACTTTATTTGTTACAGAGTAAGCCGTACATTTGCAAATTTTGCTCGAAACCGTTTTCCCAGTCGTCCAACTTGCGCACCCACGAAAAAATCCATTCGGGGACACGACCTCATATGTGTAAATTTTGTCCTAAAAAATTCGTCCGTAAAAGAGATTTGGATAATCACTTGCGATCACAACACGAATTTAACTCGATTTTGGACACAGATCGAACCATTCTCGATACGGCTCGCTCAAATTAACATATTTCAAATTAATTTCGACCTGAAACAATCAATAAAAAGAAGCCTATAATCTTGTCAATTTCACCTGTCCTATTGTATTATTATGCAGGAATTTTTTGGACTTGACCGTTGCCACAAGCGTCTGCTCGTAAGCATCGGATTTTGAGAATAAATACTCGAAAGTTTCCTCGTAGACAGGGTTGCAGTTGTCCGACACCACCTGAAACGGGCGTGGCGTTAGGTCGGTCTTGTGGAAGGGCGGGGTTACCTTAGTCCGATAGGTGGGGCCTGTTGTGTGACCTTGTGAGTACATTTTTATCCTGACATAAGGATCGGGAATGTCGGAAGGGTCTTTTAGTGGCAAATTGCTGAAAAAATGTAAGTCACGTGATTTTGCGGTGGGTGGAAAGTGGAAACTTACGATACTCGATGTACTGTTACTAAGAGCTTTTGCCGCGGCTCATTGTATTCTAAACTTATTTCCAGACGGCCTAAACGGTGCTCGCTGGAATTTAGGTGGTTAGTAAGAGGCGTGGCGCGATTTTGTGGGCGGTACTTAACGCTTGTTGTGCGCTGGATTGGTGGTTTAGCCGATTGGGAGGAGATTGATGCCCTCGTTAATACTTCTTCAACAAATTTTTTAGGAGAATTTCGAGATGAACCTCTCGATCTTACACTTGTTTCTAAAATAAGTCAGAATTGAACTTTATTTCACTTAGGTGGAAATTTTACCCTCAACTGAGCTCTCATGTGAAAACACACCCTCGGAGTCACTTTCACTCTCATCTTCAATTTCGCAACTTTCATTTGTCAGTATTCTCAATTGTAGCGAAAGTACGACTTTACTTTCTTCGTTATCTAAAACAAATTCATGCTTGCTGATTTCCAAATTCGGTAATTGCATCAAATCGGAAATTTTGTATGAGAATTGCGTCAAAAGACTGCCTGTTGGTTTATCCAAGATAGCCATGTGGAGCGAATCTTCTAAGGGATTCGGTACCAACATTACGAATCCTTGTTCCCAACACGGGTCATTCGTGTGTTTTTTGACTCGACTCTTTTGTTTTTGGTCCCTCAGTGTCAAAATGAAGTAAGGATGGGGTTTCACGAGTCGTTTAGCTTCGGGAAGTTTTGTTGCCATATCAACGTATATGGTCAAGATAGCTGTGCTTATGTTGTCGACTTGTAACAATTTAGTTTCTTTTGAAACCTACGAAAAATAATGAGTTTTTAACGTTTTTTATGTACAACTAATGACTTACGATATCAAGGTCCTCAAGATCGGATGAGAGAGACAACCAAGTGAAACGGAGATGGATAGAGCCATGTTTGGCGTTATCTAACTTGATCCATTGGTCAGTTTGGCCTTTAAGCACTRACGCTATATCAACTTCGCCACTAAATCGGACAAAATTYAGTTTCAAATATGAATGATTGTTACCAACCTTCCCAAAAAATCATCTTCGTTGACGTTATCACGGTCATAAAGCTTGAATCCCAGATGTTGCGCATTTGGGTCTATTATAACAAACTTGAAAATTTTGTTACCAAACCAAAAATTTTACAAGTTTCGAACAAAATACCTCACACCAGTAATCCCACTTGGGATTCAGACTTTGATTCACAGTGTTACTCTTGCATTCCTGTGCCCCCACATAAAGGATAGCGTAAGGATCAGACTTCCCGGTTATATCCTTCGCCATCAAATCTTTCGCCTCGAAGACATGCACCCGGAGTACCCCAGCCGGCTCCAAAGCCTTCAATTCATACGGTGCCACCGATTTGGAGAACCTCTTAGTGACCTTGTTGGGAAAAACGATCACTTTAGTGATTTTTTCCTCGATTTTGGACCGTATGAACGAACTAAGACCTGGGATGCCGGATAGGCCSTCAAGAGTGAAACTTATATCGGGCGTATTGAGGAAATAGATTTGGATTCCTCCAATGAGRGGGAGTTTGGCGAGGAGTGGCTTCAGGACAACGCGAACTTCGACGCTTAACTGAAACAAAAGTGGCTATGAAAGCCAAGACTGAAATAAAACAAACCTGGAAATCGCGAATACCGCCAATTTCGGCCCCCGAGAATGAAAAATTAATATCACAGTCGCCATCATAACTGAAACATAATTGTAAAAATTTTGATTGGTTCAATTGGAAAAATTGATTTACAAAACGTCAAAATCGATAATTATTGAATCTTTAGTCGAGACCGCTGTGTATACTTTGATTCCGTCAATTTTAGGCGGCTAGAAATCACATTACAAGGTGTGCTTTTTTACATGATTTTTGCCTTACAGTAGGTCCAAAATCAATACTTTCGAATTGAAAAGAGTCATATTTTTTCCGAATTTTTGTCTGGATTGATGTTCGGAAAAGCTTGATAATGTAACTTTCGACAGTGGGCCACAATTGGGCTATTACTTGGTTCAGCCATTCAGCTCGTTCCCTGTCGGGGAATTTGACCTGTAAGTGTTGTTTTATGATACACCTAAGCACACGTATTTTTTACCCATGAAGGTATTTCATCGATTCGTCGGACTAAATCTTGTTTCGTAAACGAACAGGCTGTTGCTTTCACTCTTATCTTGTTGGCATGGGTTTTATCTCTCTGTTCGAGCCATATTAAAGTACCCGCAGTCACAAACAGGAGGAGGAAAGACCATTGCATGTAAGAAATGGCGTAGCCGAGGAAAATCAAAGTTGCCTGTAAACCATTTGTTTTAATAAAATATTAATTATAGTTATGGTACCTTGTAGAGGATTTTTATGACGAAGAACCGCTTCTTCATGGTACCTCCTTTGGGTTGTCCGTCTTGTATTTCAGGCTCGGGAGGTGGAATTAAATTATCACTCTCGGTCATCTCTGTAATTTGTTACATCACCGTTACTATTGTTAATAAGAAAGGTTCGAGCTTATTTGTAAATTGGTGTAGGTTAAAAAATGAACTCGATCAGTATGCAGCCGGTTTTGCGTTGTAGAGTGTTAGGTGAGTCGGTAATGACCTTTACGGTTAGGTAATTCCAACCTGGGTTATTGTAGCGTCCGTAATGTTTATTTTTAAATGATTATAGGGCGACAATTAAAAAAATTGTTAAGAATTTTCGCGCCAAGTTTACTTACAAGTCTATTACTATTTTTGTACACTTTAAAATAGAGCAAAGTTTAACAGTGACCAGTTCCGGCCATTTAACGTTGTTTACTGAGAAAAAATCGATAAATGGGGGGTGCACCCACCACTGGCGACTTTCTGGCGCCCAACGTGTTGCTTCTCTATTACAATAGATAAAACCTACTTGTGGAATACCGGTGGCGTCGAATCGGACGCGTTTTGTTCGATCTACGGATACGAAACATGAAGAAACAACTATTTCACACAAATTCATCATTTAACTTTATATTTTAGCCAAATGATAAGATACAAACAAGTTCTGTAATCGTGTGACATTCCGACACCGATATTATTAATATTTGTAGCTTGGCTATAGCAAACAAATTATTCCGACTTTTGCTTGTCATTGCCCGATAGATAACATGTGTTATGTTATGTCTGTAATCTTGGTTCAAATATTTATTTATGTTTGTAGTGATGTGTGAATAATAACAGATTAGAAAGCGATAAAATAAGTTTGGCCGGAAATTAAATATCAAAACGACTTACTAGATTCGTGCCCCAACACAAATAAGAATTCTACAGTTATGTCGAATAAATTTTACGGCATGACGCCGTGGCGTCACTTTTTATTATTTTGTTAAACCACAGATCTACCGTTCTCACTCATCTCAAATGTTGTTTCTGTATTTCAATCGTTCATAAAACCGCGACCTTGGGTGATTATGGCCTTGATAGCGTGGGTGTGTTCTTGCATAATAAAATTCAAAACAAAAACATTTTATTTGATCAAATGATACACATGTTCCTCGTGTTTGGATCGCAAGTCGAACCAGTCGGTGAACGGTTCGGCAAGATTGCCACACTCTTGCAAGGAGATGATGGTTCGGCCAAGGTTTTTCTTCAAAAAGCCTTTGTCGGTTTTCACCATTACGAGTAAGTTGGTCCAGTTGAGGTCTACGTTTGAAATTAAATAGTCGAACGATTCGTTGAAAATCGCAGTTTTGGTTTTTGCGATCTGGAAGAAGTCGGTTAGGTTTGAGTAATTGGAGGGTTTGGGTTACTTTAGTTTTTTTGCGGTGGTTGCGTTGTTGGTCGGTTTGGAGATAAAGTTTGACGTAGATTTGGGAACGTTTCCGAATTAAATCTCTGAAACAAATTCTCGATCATGTGTGAGATCTACAGAGTGTTCCAAGTTTATGATATCGGTCTTTACTTCTAAGAATTGATATTTTTTTGTAAAGAATTTGACTTCTGTTTTTTTCGTGAAAATTATTATACTTACACTTCATGGATTTCTACGATTAGTTTTTGCCTCTGTTGGCTGTATGATAAAGACAGTTTGATTTTTCCTAAATTTGTATCATCTTCAGAGTCACTGGAAAAAAAAAATCGTTATCGAAATCAAAATTTCAGAACGACTTACTTACAAAGACGAATTGATGGTTTCATTGTCATCCGATGCAAGTCCTTCACTTTCAGTTTTTCTAGACACAGTTGAAATGTTGGATTCTTGTTTTACTAATTTTTTTTGTGGTTTGGGAGCATCGCCGTCATCTTTTTCTTCTTCAAGACTGTCATTTTTTAGTACCTACAAATTGCTAAATTAAAATAGTGTTTTCAAAACTTTATTAAATACTCTGAGTTTCATTGAGCAACAAATCGAGGCTTCCGAAAACGGTTTATTGAAAAAAAACGTATGTCTTTTTAAGTCCATATTGGTCTCGTTTTTCAAATTGTCAACTCGGAAAGACACCTCTCCCATTTTATTCTTACTGTCATCGTCAATAATTCTTAAGTTTAGAACAGCCTTTTTTGGATCACGAAGCAGGAAAGTAAAGCCAGTTTCCCATAAAGGCTCACAAGTTTGTTGCTCGGGACTTGACGCTTTTGTCTCATTCTCAACTTCAAGTTCAACGTAAGGATTGGGACATGTTTTGGAAAATTTTGGCAGGTTTAGGGATGATTCCAAATAAATCATCAGCAGGGCAGTGTGCAAGTCGTCATAATTTGAACTTAAAGAGAGCCAAGTTAGTCTGATATAAATCGTACCTTTGGGGACTCCTTGTAAGGGGATCGGCTAGAATTATTTGTAGTATTTGAATTGTCAAAATTTTAACTCACCATGTCCGATTGGCCAATTTTGGCAACTTGGGCCACGTTTATTTTGGCACTGAAACAATATCTGGTTCTCAACCATAAATCAAACTTTACTTACTGTCCCAATGAATCGTCCTTTGACCCTTCGTCCTTATCCCAAACTTCAATTTTCAACTCTGAATTTGGCTCAATTTCAAAATCTTTCCAAAAATCCCACTTGGGGTTTAGACAATTCTCGACGACGGGTGTCTCGACTCGAATTGAACCACAACTGAGCACCACATAAGGGTCAGATTTTCCAAACAAGTCCTTGTTTATTAGATTTTTGGCCTCAACAACGTGCACTCTCAAAATTCCCTAAAAATGACTCTTAAAATGTTACAAAAAAAAAATTGCAACAGTACTTCAGTACGGAAAACTGTCAATTTCGACATATTTATTCCTTGGGTCAAGTTAATTGAGTAAACATTGGGGTACATGAACATGGAGTTAATCACATTCATTGTGGTATTTTTGATTTTGTTACGTACGACTGGTAGGTCTAGAATCGAGGTGGCTTTGATTAAATCGAAGTCAATGTGAGGCTCATTCATGAAATAGATTTGTAATCCACCAATGAGGGGCATTTTCGAAATTAAGGGTGTGAGAACGACTCGAACCGTTCCATGAAACTGTAAACACAGTGTTTCAACTCGGCTTCGCCTCGGTTTATTCTCCTACCTGGATTTTTTCAATGCCTCCTGTGAATCGAAACGTGTGAAACGTGACATAACAATCGCCAGCGTATGAAATATTCAAATCCATTACAATCTTCCGTTTGTCTTCCTGGTCGTATACTTTGACCCCATCGACTCGCAAGGGCTTCGATTATTTTTAGTTTGTGCTTCAATTTTCAACTTACCACATTTCCGAGTATCACCTTATTAAATTTGAAGTCAGAAACGTAGCTTTGTATGGCCGGTTCGAGGATTTTTGGTACCAAATCATGGGTGTATTCGTTTATTTGTTGCCATATTAATTTAAACACATTATTAAGCCATTCAACTTTCTCAATTTCAGGAAATTTTATCCAGGCTGGAAGTTCATTTTGGAATGTTTCTAGTACAACATCTTTTTCGTATCCCAGAGCTATGGTTCTCGCCACCCGAAATTTATTTTTCTTTTCTTGACGCCACTTCGTATTTATTATGACGAAAACGAGAAGGGCATAGGGCAAAACGATGGAAAATTCATAATACCCGAATAAATAAATAAGAAAGAAGAAACCGAGCTGGAATTATCTTAAGTGTATTTATTTATTAAGCAAGTGTTTTATTTGATTATTTGATTGCGACACTTGTAGGTGTACGGCAACGAAAATAATTGTGATTTTTTTACCTTCTTAATAAATTTGATGACGGTTTCTATACTCAAAACGGTTTCAGACAACGGGACGGATACTTCACTTGCTGTGAGGTCACTACTCATTGTATAAAATGATTATAGTAGCTAAAACCGCAATTTCTTTAATGAAAAATAAACGTTAAGTGAATTACATCTCATTTTTGAAATCTGAGTTATCGCCTTATCGTTATCAATGGTGATAGGGTTTTTTAGAGTTATTTGTATTTGAGATGCTGACATTTTTCTTATTTTTGATCATCTTCACCGGAAATAATAACCAATTTAAAAAAATCTGATTCGGTTTTGTTTCACACGAAATAAATATTTCTACAATGTTTGACTGAATGTTTCAATCAAGTTCTCAGGTGTGAGTCATAATCTATTAAAATGTCAGGTGAGAGGGGGGACTTTTAGTTAAGAAATTTTGGACGGAATGTTAAAAGAAATGCATTATTAACAAACTGTTTTTTTTCCAATTGTTCAAAATTAATTTTTAAATAAGTCACTACATTTTACAAGTGTTTTTTTTATTTTGGTAGACGCAAATAAATTCGGCAACTCAGCTCAACATCATTTTATTAAGTAATACATAATCGGCATAAAATATTAACACATAAAAAAGCTAAAAACGGTATTACATAACTTGAATAAGTAGATTAATAAATAATTGACGGTTAGCGGTGATTCCGGTCAGTCTCCGGCATAAGGTCAAACCATGCATTATAAGGTTGATTTACATTAAGTTTCTCAAAATCGATAATCACCTAAAACAAAAAATCACATAAAATAAAAAAAAAACATATTACGTACCATTCCTAAAATATTACTGCTACTATAAAACAATTGTTTTTGTGACGCAACAGTAACTTCAAGTTGTTTAGTATTGAGTTCGCCTTGCGAGAGGATATATTCAAAACTTTCATCAAAAATAGGATTGCAGTTGTCTTTAACGACATGCGTTTTGCGTTTTGTGTCTTTGGCCCGTTCTGGAAGTAAGTAAAGCTTCACGTAGGGATCGGGGATGTTGGAGGGGTCTTTGAGGGGTATATTCCTGAAATTTTTTTCTATAAAAAAGGGAAACTTAATGATAAACACTTACGCGACTTGGTGCACTACAACAATGAGACGTTGGCGCTGAACACTATATCTGATTGTCAATTGTATACGACCTAAATCGTGGATACCCGCCGATCTGGAAAAAAACTGACAGTCAAGGGGTATTGAGGTAGTGCAAAGTAGTTACGAAGTGACACTAGGGCTTCGATGAGTGAGATTACTCTCTTTGATTGGGGTACTCGCAACTGGCGCTGTTGTCGTTTTAATAATTTCTTCGTAATTAGGGGCTGATTCACCAGCACCTTCATTTGTTTCAGGAGTTGGAGTTGGGGTTGGAGGAACATCCTCACTTGTTATTACTTTCGAATTGTCGCGTTGCAAAGTTGGGGGATCGGCAGAATCAATATCGTCGACTGCTTCGGCCCTTTTAAGTACCTAAAATTTCAAGTTCAGTGAAAAGTATAGGAATTAGCCACAATTCACCCTTAAGTGCATCGACCAGATAACTTTACTTTCCGGTCCGGATTTAAGTAACGAAAACGGCTCTTTGTAAATCTCCATTTTGGTCTTCTTCGCTAGGTTACCAATGTTGTAAGTGACGTGGCCGAGCTCATTTGTTGTTTTTCGATCGGTTATTGTTAAGTAAAGTGTGTCCGATTCGGGATTGGCCACAAGGAAAGAAAAGCCTTGCTCCCAAACTGGATGTATTGTTCGTTCCAAAACTTTGGTTTCTTTTGTCGTATTGCCGACTTTGAGGACGGCGTAAGGGTCGGGTTTTGTGCTCGCACGGGCTTGCTGTAAATAAACTGGCACAATTTTGGACAAAATTCGAATAATAGGTAAATACCGGAAGATTTTTGGCCGAATCAAGGAAGATTGTTAACAAGGCCGTACTCATCGATGTGACTCGTAAAAGTTGGGTTTCTTCGAGTGCCTACAATTTATATTTTGTAATTTTTTATTCTGGGAGAGATGGAGAGATTTACAGCTTTCAAATCGGAATAATTGTCACTTAAAGTGAGCCATGTCAAACGCAAATGGACCATTCCGTGTTTGGCTTGTTCCAAAGTGATCCACTAGTAATCGATCATCATTTATTTATTTTTTTAACGTCAGTAATCTTACCATGTCGTCTTGTCCTTTCTTTACGATGTTAGATACTTCAATGGTAGCCCTAAATTTGTTACAATAGTTAGTTTTTTGTTCATGGTTATATGCATTAAGTTAATGAGTTAAGCAAAGAAGGGCTAAATCACACTAGAAAAAAACACGCCATGCTTTGAGACAATAGATGAAGGTAAAAAAAATAGTCGAAGTGATAATTATGTTAGTGTACCTTCCAAGATCGTCATCTCGATGACCCTTGTCTTTATCATATAAATGAAGATGAAGCCAGGTACTCTTAGTACTTTCCAAGATCGACTATACAACATAACACGTGTGATAACAAACTGCTATAAAGCCGTTTTATTTACAAAAAAATGGCAAAAACCAAATTCAAGCGCGCGAATGCTCTCAAACTTTTAGTACCTTCCTAAGTAGTCGTGATTCTGGGCACCGGGAACCCCAGGATCCCAATCCCAAACATTCACCGTTAGTAATTGCGATTCGTACGAGCTTATCTGCGCCTAAATTCGACATTATTAAGAGAGGAAAAAATGATCGGTGAAAATTACAACCATGCAAAGCCAAGCGTGAAGCTTGTAGAAACCAACACGTGACTGAGCACTTGTCACTTTCTACCCCACCACAATTTTGGTCCACTCTGGTGTATATACAGGGTGTTTACCGGTGGTGTCTTACCTGCCCAAAGTCTCATCGTCCGAAGTTTCGTCCTTATCCCACAGATGAATATAAAGTTGTTGTCCGTCCGATTCCAACACATTAAACTGGTAATACACAATTGATGAACGAAAATACAAGAAACACCTGAAGATTGTCATTAATTTTGCCTACTTTTTTTGAAAGCAAAGGTGAATTTTTCTCATTCGCTGTCTAACCCGATTTGAGGCATGCAGAAACACGAAAAATCAAACAAAAGTCAATCGGGCTCACCTCGCACCAGAAATCCCACTTCGGATCGACGCTATTATCGATGACTTTCGTTTTGAACTCTTGGGCACCTAAAGTGACCACTGCGTAAGGATCGGATTTACCTTTACCTAGCATTCCTATATCCTTTTTCATCAGGTGTTTAGCCTCGACTACGTGAACGCGCAAAACGCCCTAAAATTCGTTTAATTTGTTTTTCGAGTATTAAAATAGGACTAACTTCCGGTTCCGGAGCCTTCAATTCCATCGCATCCACGTCATCGCTCAACTTAATCGGGAATTTATTGGGGAGGACCATCATCGAGGCCACGGTTTCGACGACGATGCGCCGTAAGATGTCGCTCAAGCCGGGCATGTCGAGCAAGTCGGCGATGCCGATAAGGTCGAAATCTATATCGGGATTGTTGAGGAAAAAGACTTGGAGGCCACCCACGAGAGGTATTGTTGTGATCAGGGGCTTCATCACAACGCGGAGCATGCCGTGGAGTTGAAAATCGCGGATTCCACCCTTAATTCCGGCCAAGTAGAATGTAATGTCGCAATCGCCGGCATAACTGTAAGAAATGGTAACAAAAAATTGGACAACCAGCAAAAAACTCACAAAATGTCCAAGTCCATAATAATTTCATTTCTAGCGACATTCTTGTCGTAGACTTTGACACCACCGATTCGGAACGGCTGAAACGACAAATAAATAACGGGTAAACAAATGACATTCGGAGGTGTACCACGGTGCCAAGGATGATGCGTTCAAACTTGAATCCTGATAATTTATAAGCTTCTAGGCTTTCTTTTAAAATTGGTTGAATGGTGTCCCTGATTAAGTCGCGTGCGTAGTGGTTTATGTTAGGCCAAACTTGTTTAATAATCTGGAAATTCAGAATTAGACAAATGGGGGCATTACTTATTTTACTTACTCTATTGAGCCATTCGGCTCTTTCGACATCAGGGAAAAACACCTAAAAATAGATTAGTTAATTAATGTTAATTAATTAGTGTTTTTGTATTTTTTCACTGCAAACAATTTTCTTATCTTAGTAATAATAAATGAGTCAGAAGTGACCTCACATACCCAAGCTGGAAGATCATCAAGTCTTGCCAAGACAACGTCTTTTTCACTTGCTAAAGCTGCCGCTTTTGCTATGTTTCGTTTCCTGTCGCTGGCTTTTTTCCATTGGTCTCTGATAACGAACAAAACAATAGGGCCAATGAACCACGCAACCGACCATTGCATATAACCGGCAAAGTACACAATACCGACAATGGAGGCCTAAAATTGAGTCAATTTCTCTCAGGACTTCGCCCCCGAAAAGTTACCTTTTTGACTGCACTGCAAATAATACTTAAGATGCTGGAGCCTTCGGAACGCTTCTCCATCGCTCGACTCACGTCTTTACTCACACTCATCTCTGAAACTGTTCATCTTTATAATTAAAATAGAAGATAAAAATAACATACATACTTTCAAGAAAGTAGAGTGCTACTAAAAAATTATCTTTAAAGCATTTCAATTTGTTTTGAGATAACAACCGCCCCGCCTCGTGTTGTTCAACAACATGACATCACAAACTATATTTACAACATTACAAAATTGGTAAAAGTTGCTCGCACTCACCTTGGCCCAGCTGATTCGGTGTATAATTGGTTGTCTACCACCAAACGTCAAATAAGCCCAGGGCCGGCTTTGATTTTATTTACATCTCTATGACAACCAGTTTCCGTCAGTTTTCAAGCCACGATGGCTCTCCGGTGCCCCGATTTGCCCTTTTTACCGGGCTATACTTTCAACCCAATGGTAAAAAACTCAATTTTGCGTCATTATCTCCGAAATCGTATTTCAGCTGGGTAAAACCAAATTTAATATGGACCCCAAATTCGATTTTATTGGTGATGGGGTCCCAGCACTGATCGAGAAAGTCAAACCGAATATGTTTGGGCCTCTTTCGGATAAATACCCCTCTTTGTACCCAAGGGGCGAAGTTGTGGAACTCCCCTCCTGGATTGCCTTTGACAAACAAGTAAATCAGTTCGTCGGATGTTGACGCTTACTAATTTCCGTTCTGCAGATCTTGTGTTTCGATGCGTTTTTCAAGGAGACATTGCAGGAAGTCCGTGGCGCTCCTTTCTCGTTGCGAAGAGTCAAAATTTATTTTTTTCTCGAAGATGGGACAATTCAGGTGATTGAGCCCAAAGTTGAAAATAGCGGAATTGCTCAAGGTTGCATTCAAAACAAAAGTTTGTGGAAAAAAATATTTATTTTTAGGTACCCTAATTTGTCGGCACCGAATCCGCTTTTCGCCCCCTATGGATGATAATTTTTACGAAGTTGTTGACTTAAATGTCGGCAAGGAGGTTGAATTTTATGGCCGGGTTTTTAAAATCACCGATTGTGATAAATTTACTCGGAATTTCCTAAACCGGTGTGGAATTCATGTCCCGGATTCGCTCAACATTCCCGAGGACCCCTTCTTGAAGTTACGTAATCACGAAAACGCTCGAATGAAAAAACGAGCGAAGAAACGGGACGATTCCCTCGGGAAGTTTCTGGAAAACGACCGGAAAGTGTTACGCTTTTATGGCTATTGGGATGACCAGGAGACCGTTTTTGGGTATTTGCACCGTCTGGAAATTTTGTATTTCCTAGCAGACGACACAATCGAAATTCGCGAAGTCTCAACCGAGGACTGTACTAAAAAAAACACTTTCATTTTTTTGCACAGAGACAAAATTCCTAAAACTTACAACGAACTGCCTTTGCCCGGTGCAAACTGCACCAGCACTGTTTTAAATGTTTTAGGGCCTGGCCTGCAAGGGGGACGCTTTATCAAAGACCCCTTGTCCTGTGGGGTGGAGGTAACGGAGTACTATTGCGAAAAGGATTTGTTTATCGGGAGTGTCATAAATTGTTACGGGAGGAAGTTGGTACTCACCGACTGCGATCCCTATACTCGGGAGTACTACAGAAGCATGTACGGCTTGAACAGTTTGGACGCCATAGCGTTTCCTGAGGACAAACACGCTGGCGTCAAAGTCGAGCAAAAGGAGCGCGAGTTGCCCCCTTGGAACGGCTACGGCTCTTATGAGGACTCAGCCCAGAATTGCATCACAGTGGAACCCAAGGCGCCTCATCGAGACTTTAAAAAATTTCTCAATTTGGATAGAATTGGTATCGATAGTCACATTTTACGATTCCAGGCTCGAATGATATCGAAAATACCCGAGAATTGTACCCGACGTTTTGTCATAAGTTATTACTTGGCTGATGACACGATTGCTGTGTTTGAGCGTGGAATTAGAAATTCAGGTAGAGTTCGTGGTGAGAAGATTCATGGGCGTGGTTTACTCATTTCTTGTAGGTTTTGATACCAAGGAGTTTTTTGCCCGGAGATCGGTTGCTCTACCCAATCAAGGAGTCTATACGAGTAAACCACCAATTACTTACAAGTCACAAGACATGTACGTGGGGGCTACTTTGATTATAAACAGTTTTAAATTTCAACTAACAGACGCAGACGAGTATGCGCTTAGATATATGGAAATTCACGACTATCAGGTGATTCGTGCTGGCTTAAGTTTAGTCGGGTGTAAATGTGATTTTTCAGTATCCAAAAGCAAATATTAAAGTTATAATGGGGAAAATTCGGGAAAAGCTAAGGCCGACTTACAAGGATTTTGTCGCAGAAAATATGCCAAAAGAGGATACAAATATTCCTTATGACACTCTCAAGTAAACTAAAATTACGATAAAAAATTACGATGAAATAAGTGGGAGCTTCTAGGTCGAAATTATTGGGGATTTTGGGGGACGATTTCACTGAACATGAAATGATCACAATAGCTCGCGCTTTTCCGGGCGATGTCGACCTGACTGAAAAGTATGATCGTGAGAAAATCCGGGCAATCGCTTTGACGGAATTAAAGCGTGGACTTTGGGACGATTTGGCCCGATTGAGGGAATACTTCCTGATGAGGGACCCTCACAGATCGGGGGTTTTACCCAGAAATGAATGTTACATTGTAATACGGGCTTGTAGACTGCCTTTGGAGAAAGAACTCATAGAAAAAATTTTGGAAGTGTGAGTATTTGGTTCACCAATTTTTTTTACATCTCCATTGATGTTATTTAACAGAATACAGAAAGACAATGACGGTAATCTCTGTTATGAAGATATATTGAATTTCTTCAATCGCGATATTTGCAAACGGCCGGATGTTGAACCAATTAATTTGAAAGTGAGATTTTGAGAGAGGTTTTTTTTAATATTCACCAATTTTTTTTAGCATGAATTGAGTTGCATCAAAGACATTGAGTACAAAAAATACAGATTGATCAATTGGTGCGAATTTAACAAATTTTTGGATTTGGAAGACACTTTCAAAGAGCAACCGGTCAATAATACGATTGAACGACTCCAAAAAAATAAATAATTAAATACTGTACTTGCATAATTTTTGTCGTGTGGTTTTGTGTGCTATTACTAAGGTTGTCGTTTAAAAATTAAGGTAAAAAATTTAGCTGTTTGTGATAAAAACATTTATTGTCACAATACAATATAATCAATGCATTTTAATATAACTTTTATGCCATTCCGGTCATTTCCGGTTTCTCCTTTTGTTTCTTTCCTGCGAGTCGCATTCTCAAGTGCGATATTGCCTTTGCGGGGTTTAAGTGTTTGGGACAACAATTCGTACAATTGAAGATTGAGTGACATCTATAAACACTGAAATAATCACGTAAAGTGGCAAGTCGGCATTCTGCAGCTTCGTCTCGCGAATCTCTAATCCATCTATCAACGGCCAAAAGGGCCGCAGGGCCTAGAAAATCGTTGTCGCCGTGACCGTGCCACCAATATTCGGGACACGAAGTCGAACAACAAGCGCATAAAATGCATTCTATGTAACCATCCTTGGAAAAAAAATATAAAATTACCGAAAAAGGAAGCAAATTGTATTACCAACTTGTCGCGGTCTTTCAAACTCTGCAAGTACTGTTTTTGCCCAATGGCCACGTCGTGATTACGTATCAAATACGGCTTGATTCTTTTGTGTTGGTCTAGAAATCGTGTCATGTCGACAACTAGGTCTTTGACGACGTACATATGGGGCAGGGGAAATATTTTACAGTCCCCTTTCGGCTCAATTCTTTTAGTGCAAGCAAGAGCATTTCTGCCGTTGATGTTCATAGCACACGAACCGCAAACACCCTCACGACACGATCGGCGGAAAGTTAGAGTTGAGTCTTGTTCTCGTTTTATTTTTAGCAAGGCATCGAGAATCATAGGGCCACAACTGGAATCACAAAATTAAAAAAATAGACTTTTACAAGTTACCAAGTACTCGTTGAGATCAATCGTGTATTTTTGCATGTGCGGTTTCTTTTTACTTTCTTGAGTGAAACGATAAATTGAGAAATCTTTGAAACGGGACTCTTTTGATGTAGGGGGCCCAATCTTTTTTTCTTTTTCTGTCGATTTTTTTTGAGCTTGTTTGATGTTTTGGGCCGAAATAGAAATACATCGACCGCCGAAATGTCCCCCATAATTTTTCAAGATTATTTTGCCAATTTTTGACATTTTGAAGTTCGTTTAAAAATGTCAAATTCTTACCGAGGAAACAGTTGACTTTGTTTTGTTGCACCGTGATGTCCACACAAAAAACTTGTTACATATTTGCGTTTTTTTTAATAAAAAAAACAATTGAGATCAACATGTTTTATTTGGGATGTAAAACAAATTTAACATAATATAATACAGTGCCGTGTGTCATTGGATAAAATCTGCTTCATCATGTAAATAAATACATCGGTAACCTATTCTAAAATTAGTTTGATGATGAATTTGGAAAATAATATCACATCATCGACTTGTTCCAATCATCAGACTAAATTCGATAAATCAATCACAGCTTGATAAAAATAAATTCCGAATGTTTAATTACACACACCCATCGTTAAACATTTAATTACATTCAATATGAATTAAAAGCGAATGTAAAACAATTGCTCCGGTTTCTTTGGTGCTCCATTCGGGTGGATCCCTCGATACCGAGTACGCGCTCGGTTTGACTAACAATTGAAAAGCGGCATGAACCACTCTATTGTTCGTCTTGTACCCTGCAGTCTTGCAATTTTGTAAAGTTGGATAAAAAACGACTTGGACATCGTCCTCTTTCTGTGCCACTAGATTACACCATTGGGCCTGTCCTTTGGTCAGAGGTTGACCTTTGTCAASTATACAACGCACCGCCCCCACTTTACACACGTAAAATGCCGTATGCCACTTATCAGTYGCCGYATTGGCTGAATTTTTCAAAGGAAATTTCACCCAACCCAAGAGARCATTATCTTTTTCGCCTTTTATACAAGTTGAGCAATGGCAAATCGGGTCCTCTGACGTAAAATAATTTTCTAGAAAAAAATAGCACAATGGGGTTAAATCACCTTACGTGACAAACCTGGCAAGAGGAGGCGTTTCTTAAACGTGAGACACTCCTCCCTATAGGAGCAAATCATCGACTTGATTGGACTAGGCGGTGAGGGACGTGACACGCCCACTGAAGACGTCAAACTAGTACTCGCTGAAGGTATGGGTAAAGTCAGACGTTCCTTTTCGCAGCTCTCWAGGTCAGCCTTTTCGTAATCAGTAACCGAATTTTCAGCCACTTCTTGCRCAACGTCATTCAATATTTTAATCTACAATCAATTGTTTTACGACGAATTATCAGCAACAGCATTACCTGTTGACATTGTCCGTAGAGATCAAAAACGGCATAAATGGCTTGCCCCGTTTGAAAAACAAAAGACAAAGCTTCCTCCTCAATTCCATTCACTAACAATTTCAACCCGGAAATGGTCAACATAACACCAACAGTGTCGCCAACTTGCAAATTACCCAATCGTTGACCATAATTCGATCGCGACTTGACCCCATTTATCGAAATCCAATCGTTTGCCACGATACAACACGGCGCTTTGAATGTCAGCGCGTTGACTGGTAGATTTAAACGTTCGGGTGGTCCCGAAACCACGCCCACGATAATGGACGACTGCCATCTCGTCTCCAATTGGTCGATTATAATCTGGACCTTAGAGTTGATTTCGAGGGCGGGCTGAGCGATCACCACGCCCTGATTGTACGACGCGACACGTCTCGCAGTCGTTCGACCCTCTACTAACTCAATGTTTCGGCCATGGTTGTCGTGAAATTCGTAAATCGTAGGCGAAACTTCCGGATCTTTGGCCAACTCAATTTGCTCTTGGTTACCAACAAGTTCGAGACTGTCTTGCAATCTTACACTATTCAGGGGCCACAAGGGGGACTTGTGACTCGTCACGGCGACAGCACTACACGACCCTTTCAGGTCTATAACGACATATAAAGTTTCAGGAAGTGGGGGCAAACATAAATTTAATTCTTCACTATTTATGAAAATTTTTAAAGCGCCATCTAGCGTCCGGAGCAATCCGATTCGGTCCCCTACGTTCAGCCAATGCAAACTCGGAGTAAATAACTGAATTGTTTTGTTCTTAAATCTCAGCTCGTTTCCTAAAATTATAATAGATAGGGTGTTTTATTAAGATGAATTATACCCACCTGTAATGTAACAACATTGTTCGAAAATATTAATGTTGGATTTCCCTGGAGGCGTTTCCGACACGCCRACGACGATACTTCCTGCCAAGTGCTCGACCAATGAAACAATTGAGATTTCGAATAGTTCCTCCCTTTCGAGAGTTGTGGCGCTGCAGACCACCGCCCCGCTCAAATCTTTCGCGCGTTTGGCCAATCGTCCCCCGTCACTCAAACACACGCCTTTACCGTGACAATCCGAGAAGATATGTAGATCGGTTTGAACCGCCGGTTGGACCACACTAACCGCTTGCAAACTAATTGAAGTGTCAGATCGGGGACAATTATCTAAATTTGTGGAAATAGGAACGAGTGGAGAGACACAAGGAATGCTAACTTGGGCACATTGGCCGTACAAGTCGACTACGGCATATACCGTACTATAGGGAACAATACAAGCGGGACCTTGGGGAACACCATCTCTGTAAAACTCTAAAGTTTTGTCGGCCGAACGCACGACTCCGATTCGAACGCCAGCGTCGAGGGTGTCCAGGTCGCAGGGATAGTTGTTTTTGACAGTGGTACCATTTTCCATTATTGAAGACCCGCTGAGCATCCAGGTGTCGCGGCAGAGATCGGTAGCGGTGCCTGGAAGTTCAATATCGTCGGGGCGAACGGCGGTCACACCTTTGAGACAGTTTAGTAATGATTTTTAGTGTTGGCACTACTGACCTAATTCGATGCTTCCCGACCACCGATCGACAATACTATCAAGACAAACTTCGAAAAGTTCGCCGTCGCGAAGCGGCCGACTCGAAAACACAATAGCGTCGTTGAATTCCGAAAGGGGACGTGGCCTTAGAGCAGTCAAGCCACCGTTCACAATACGGGCGTTTTTCCCATGCACGTGGTGAAACCTCAAATCACTTATTTCCAAAATCATTTTGAATATCAAACACAAATCAAATCACCCACCTGTAAAGTGTCGTGTTTGATAAACTCGAGTTTATTGTATCAGGTGATCCATAGTCGTACATGTCAATGATTGAAGCCTCAACAGCCTGACCATACAAATCTTGCAAAAAAATGCAAATTAAAAATGAAATTGTAATTAGTAATTATTTTAAGTACCAATGACTCCGAATATTTTCTCCGGGACATTCGAAGCCGCCGCGCCTTGATCCACCCCATTGACGAAAAAATGCAACAACCCATTTTCCTTCCTGACCACACCGACCCTATCCCCCACCTGTAATCTATCCAAATTAACCCCATACTGCTCCAATACGATTGTTCCATTATGCATAATTCCACTTCCGGTCATCATCCACGTCCCCGATCTCACATTCGTCATGGTAAACGGAAACTCCAAATCGACTGGACTGTGTGTCGTCACACCTATCTCAATCGACCCCGCCCACTTTGTCACCACCCTATCCAGCTTCACCTCGAACAACTCCCCCGTTTTCAACGGCCGTGCCGTAAGCACAACCCCGTTATTAAAATCATCGGCTGCATTCGGCCTGTGGGCCGTCCTCCCGTTGTTAATAACCTGCGCATGCGTGCCACAATTTGGATGAAAAGTCAAGCGGTCGTAGTAATCGGGAAGAGGCTGAGGATCAGGGACGGGAACTTGTTGGTCGCGGGTGTTTTTGCGCGTCATGAGATTCTGCTCCTCTCTTTCGTCGCGTTCAACTATCGACACCTTGATTGTCATGCCATAAAGATCGATCACGCCCCATACGGTAGAAGGGACGCGTTGGGCGGCTACTCCTTGGTCCAGCCCGTTTATGAAGTAGTGGAGATTGCCGTCGGGCTTACGCATCATGCCGACGCGGTCACCTTCGCTCAGTTCGTCAAGGTTGAAGTCGCCGTATTCACGTCTGGTGCCTTTTCCATTTGTTAGGATGCCACAACCGGACATCATTATGGTACCACTGCGCATGTTCGTCATGGTGGCGGGGAATACCAGAGTACTGGGGTTGTGCGTAGTGATTCCCATCTACAAATGTCTATTAGGTTGGTAATAGTGTCAAACACACTTTACCTCTATACTGCCGCTCCATTTATCAACGAGTCGGTCAATTCTGATTTCAAAAAGTTCCGAATCGCGTAGGGGTCGGTGGGTCATGACCACCCCGTTGTTGAATTCATCTAAAGGCCGGCGACGTTCAGCTGTGCGATTGCCATTTGATAGTTTGACCAATGAACCGCAACGATCGTGGAAACGTAATTTATCTGGTCGGGGGCACTCCTCTGGGAGACTTAGGCTGTGATATTTACTTTAATAGCTGCGATACATTCATTAGGTCATTTTTTACCTCACGTTTATATCCATACGGATATCTAGACTGTTACTACTGCTCATACTAAGTTCGCTTAAATCGCCCCCTAGTGTCACATTTAATATGTCATTATCTATGGCCAAGACTGAACTGCCGCTGAGACAATCGTCGTTGTTGTGCTCCCTGAAGACTGGACTAGTAATACTGACTTGAACACATTTGCCATAAACATCAACTATGGCATAGACTATACTTGGAATGTTTTCAGCGGCAACTCCTTGGGATTCCCCGTTGATGTAAAAAATTAAATCACCCTTAAAACACGTATTGTATTCAAAAATTAAGTTAGTATGTAGGTAAATTACCTCAGATGTGCGTATTAAACCTATTCTATCATCCTGATTTAATTTGTCTAAGTCGGCGCCATACCTCTCAATTACACAATTTCCACTCTTGAAAAACGACATTCCTGACATAATCTACAACCCAATTAATGATCAGTTAGCCACTTCAAGGTTAACGTACCCATGAGGTGGCTTGTATTTTCGACGAACATGCTGGAAAATCGAAATGTAAAGGGTCGCAGTCCACTACCCCAATTTCGAGACTGCCCGACCAGGAATTGACCTGAAATAATTAGGATTAAAGGGTTAACTACCACACTTGGGGCTGGTGTACTTTTCTGTCGATTTTTATTTCGAAAAGGACATCGTTGACTAGGGGTTCAGCTGTTATTACCAGACCATTGTCGAAGTCACTGTCACTGCGCACCGCTGTACAATTGTCGTTTAATAAAGTAATGCGTTCGCCGCAACGATAATGGAAATATGCCATTTTAACCCTGACTGCTGGCTTAAATTTGAATCGAAAAAGAGCTTAAATCAGCCATTTGTAAACAGCCGATCATGTGTCAAGCTGTCACGTCAAACATTAATGCTGCCAACTTAACTCATCCAAACAAACATTTTTATTATTGATTTTTCGATTTTAATAAATGATTACTTCTTATTTAATAAACAGAAACATTTCAGATATACTAATTTTGTCGAGAGTGATTAGAGAAAGTCRAAGTTTTGTGATTTATTCGGATTTTTTTRGGTCTATTGCACAGAGGTTTGCGAGAATATACGCTTAAGAGAATTCTGGCAACACTAAATATTTTCACAATAGTTCGTTCGTTTTAAACATTTGAACTACCCATCTGACATTTCAATATTAACCTCGAAAACGAAGATGAAGGAAACATTTATTTTGCCGAATTTTCAGCCTCTTTTGTACTTAATTAAGTGCTACAATTTATTCTGAAATTAATATCTCTTGTTCTAGAGAGGTGAGTGGTTTAAATTGCGATAAAATCGTAATTATTTCAATTATGGGTAAGACACCATACAACTCAATGGGGATGAAAGCTAAATCAATTGGGAGAGTGTTTACAGCAGGGTTTAAAAGCAGCGAAGAAGTAAAACACTACTTTCGGAATTTTTTTTTACTCACCTTAAATTTTAGTGCACAATTGAGGGTTTTTATGATGAGGAAAACCAAATCATTTATCTCCACTTACACAGTCTTTTAGATACAGATTTATTAATTAAACATTACGCAAGTCTCGTCGAGCGATGCAACAATGAACGAAAATGCGACGATTTACTTGTGGTTAACGACGAAATTAAAAGCAGTTTTGCTCGCGCGCTTTTACTTTTGTTTCATGTGAGTCACATAATGATTTTGTCACACCCTGGATGGACTTTTGATACAAATTGGATTCAGTATTTCAAGGCTGTGGATGCTTTAAGGTAAAACAAAAAATAATTGGAGCGAAAAGACTACATAATAATTTTAGTCAAAAAAAACTCAACAAAATAAGTGAAGTTTTAAAAAACGTTGAAGGTTTAAGCCCAGACTGGGTTTCAAATGGCCGATTTTGTACCCCACGTGTTATATTCTATTTCGAGCAGTGCCCTAAAGGTTCCTACAATATTAAAAAGGTTGAACACAACCTCGAAGATCGCATTTATCACATTTTGAAAAAGACGCGGATTATTTCAACTTATGGGTAATTTAGTCCATTTTTATTTCATATTTTAGTTATTGCTAATTAAAGGTCGTCACTTTTTGCAATTCCGATGAATGAGGAATTCGTTTATATATCGACGGAAGCGCCAAATACTGATCGGTTAGGGGAAGCCGTCAGAGGTCTAATTCAGGATTGCCAACCTGGCGGCGCCATGCAAGTGCAACCACCGTTTTGCAGTCAGCCATATTCCGAACGCCATTTTTTGAAATTCTTACAAGTACACATCAAACAGGCCCGGACTAAGGGCTTTAACGACACGGGAAGCTCCAGCCGACATCAATTATCACAACCGGCCCATTTTGAGGTATTTTCCTCAAAAGTTTCAACAAAAATTAGAATTAATTTTGTTACAGTTGCCGATACTGAAACACTGGCTTGAAAGCACAAAGGCCATATACGAAGTGATAATGAAAAAAGGTTTAATCTCGTCATTGTGCACCGACACCAGATTTTCGGAACAGAGGTGTCTCAAAGTCTTACCTTTAGCTCTAGCCCGGTACCAGGAAAATTTACCACCACATTACGCTCACTCAGAGCACGACAGACGCCTCAGTATGGCTCTAGCACTCTTTAATGCTCAAGCTAGAGGTCCCGTGTTTCAACAATACGTCACTAAATTAAAAGCAGATTGTAAGGCACATTGGGAGAATGGGAGACAGCAGTGCGAGGCGGCTTCCATGACCGGAAACCCGTGCAAATTGCCCAAACATCAGGCGGATCAGGAGCACATGAGCGGGTTTATTTATAAAGGTTGGTAGAGCTGTTTTTGGAGGGAATTCAAATATGGTTTTTAGCTGTTTGTGACTGTGGTCGAAAAATCGGCCCCCGTGAGGACCCCTACAATGCCAAACAAGCAAATCACCTTTTCTACCAACAGATCAGTCGCGAATGCATTTGCTCGAAACTCGAGCGAATTTCATTTCCCGTTTTCCAACCTTCAATCAAAGAATATAAAGCTGCGACTTTGAAAGAAACTGAAGAGGCCCTTTCGGTCCTATCAGATCGCTCGAATGAACTAACTCCCGAAAACGAAAGGGGGTTAGTGCGTCAGCCGAGCACGACTGAGTATTTGCCGGGAATGCTAACCCTCAGTTCACCTCCAGGACTCCTTCCGGTTTACTCCAGTTGGAGTCTCGTCTGTCTCGGGCCCTCTTCGCTTTACAGCCACAATTTGGGGCTGTCGGAGTCTCACCACCCCGGATTTTTGAACTCTACTAATTATCTACTTCCTTGGGATGTGACTGTGTATAGCAAAGCGAAAATGAATTGGGTTAGTAAATACCCGGCCAGGGGGCGTAGAGGACGTCCCACTGGGGCTTCGCCCCAATTTTCGGTTAAGGTTTTCATTGGAGTGGAGTATGAGTGTTCGTCGGGGCATAGATTTATGTTGGCAGCGCCGGATAAGATTCTCAAGGCCACTCCGGGGAGTATTGTTAAGGACACTGGACATAAAATAGCAGAGTCGGATATGCCCTTGTACTACCCGTGCATGTGTCGGGCTAATAAGTTGGCACAACTGATGCGACTACATGTTGTTACTCCTAAAGCACCAGTGCATTGCACTTTAGACCCGAAGGTAATTTATAATTTGACTTTGAAAGGGAATAAAATAGATGTTTAAGGTTCAACCCGCCCCCGGCGCCCCCATTTTCATCAGTACGGTCGAAAGGCCGACCAAACTCACCCAATCGGCCTATTGGGTCATGCGTCTACCTTACGTCTACGTTGCGGATAAGGAGCACTACCCCCAAAATCTAGGAGCAAAGTTACTGCAGGGTGTTTTTGGCGTAACAGAAATAGAATAAACGGTTTTCAATGACTGGAATTTTTTCTATGTAAGTTTAAAAGATCCGACCTTGAGAACGACTTAGGACATGATTGACACTGATAGGGGGTTTCCCCCGTGTGAGTTCTAACGTGTACTTTGAGCATCGTCGAAGTTGCGCAACCTTTGCCACAGATTATACAAATGTACGGTTTTTCCCCTGTGTGGCTCCTCATGTGAACCGTCAAACGAGAATGGACAGGAAAATTTTTACCACAGACTTGACAAATGTATGGTTTGTCACCGGTGTGGGTTCTCATATGGGCTTTTAAATGCCCGGATTGTGTGAAACTCTGTAACAATATTGTCAATTCTCCAATTAATTTTTACTAAATACTCACCTTGACACATAACGAGCACTTAAATGGTCTTTCCCCGGTGTGTACCAACATGTGCCTTTTCACGGAACTCCGCAAGATTTTTTGGTCACATTGTAGACTACAACTAACATAATCTTTCATATGTGTTCTTAAATGCGCCTTAAGTGACCCATTTCGAATGAAACGTTTATCACAAAAACTGCATGAAAACACCTACGATAGATCAAATAAACAGTCACTCTGGCGCCGACTTTAAAACTCACTTCATCTCCAACGTGTGACCTCGTGTGTTCTATTAAATGAATAGATTGAATAAACCTTTTAGGACATAAATCACACGAGTAGGGTCTTTCCTGGCTGTGAACTCGGTCGTGTTTTTTCAAATCGTCCAACCGAACAAATAATTTTCCACAAATGGCACAAAGAAACGGTTTTTCCCCCGAGTGACTCAGTAGATGGGCCTTTAAAGCGTGTTTTTGTGTGAAAGTTTTTGGACAGGTGTCACACACATAAGGCCGAGTCCCCGTGTGTGTCATTAGATGAGTTTTCAAGTGCTCTTTTTGTGAGAATTTGCGTCCGCAATCTTTGCATTTGTACGGTTTTTCTCCATTGTGGACTCGCAAATGACGGGCTAAGGTGTCTGAACCGACAAAATTCTTATCGCAGATTTTACATTTGTAGGGCTTTGCCCCTGAATGTGTTCGTTTGTGGACGCGCAAGACGCCATATCTTGCGAAAGCTGAAATAGGCTTTAACTATTTGGAAATGTCATTTAATGGGCCTTACTTTTACCACAGTCATCACAAGTAAATTCGCGGGCGTTTTCATGCGATCTTTCGTGTTCTAACAAATGAAATTTCTGCCTGAACGACTTCGGGCAAAATTTGCATTTAAAAGGACGGTCTTCAGTATGGATCCTGAGATGGCATAATAATTCATCAGATCTGGGAAAACATTTGCCACAGAAATCACATAAAAAGGGTTTTTCGTTAATTTGAAGACATGTATCATTTGCGTTTTCCACATTTTTGGTACTTATTTCACGCTCATTTTTTTCTATAAGTATTTTTTTAATGGTGTCTTCACTTTGTTCACATTTTTTTCGGAAATCAAATGCTGCGTTTAAGTTTATTAAACATGCGTCACAAATGTTTGAAGGCAAGGCATTTTGCTCGACAAGCTACAAAAATATTGATAAAAATACTCCTGCAATTACAATAAGTGTGTTGAAAGCCTGCACCGAAATATTAGTCAAAAGTGTAATTTTTTCTGCAACTGAGGGCTGGTTTGGGGTCTTCTCATACAGAAAAGTCATTTTAAGGCTTTCACTTAAGCAAGTTCTGCATAAATTCGTTTTTTCTAAAATTCGAAAATCCATTTCTGCTGTTTTGTTTATCACCAATTATATTGTTGGTTGCATAACTCACTTGACGTTTCTGTTGGTCTAATGCACAGGCGAGAATTTCGCTTGCGAGAATATTTTTTTTTTATGGAAAATTTCAGTTCCTGGATCATATTTTAAATAGATGTAAAAAATGTAAAATGGAAACTACCTAAAATACAACACAATTCTTTAATTTCTATGAAAATTATTATCAGGCAAGGCGAATTCTCGTGTGCGTACATTCTCCTCAGACTACATTCTCGAATGCACGACCCAACGTTTTTGCGTTTCTGGAATATTTCGAAAAGTCAAATTCCTGGTGCAAAGCTTAAACGATAAAATGGAATTTTACGATAAAATTAAGCGATTTTTGGGGCTGTCCACACGACAGGAGAGTCCCCAATTCGACGAACGAGACAGGTAAATAATTAAGTCACTTGTCACATGTTTTTTTCTCCACTTTTAACCTTAGCAGACCCTGGCCAGAGCCCCCACACATAGATGATGGGTACGTAAAAACGTCCGTTGTTGATATAACTCTAATATCTAAATTAATTTTAGATTTGAAACACCATTTCAAAGTTTTAGCATGTTCGCTGATCCCTTTGAGATGCACAAGTATTTTGAGCAACAAATGAGCGAAATGTTGCGCAATTTTGGTTTTCATGAATTTGGAGACGGTTTCAGCCACAATTTCGATTTGCCACAACTTCAAATTGAGGGAATTCCCGAGGATGAAAGTGTGCCGAAATCTGGGAATTTAAGGGATCAGTTTCTTAAACCCGGCTTTGAGAAACCCAAGAGGAGAATTGAAGACAAAAAAGATGAAGACATTGACGGCAGGTACACTAGGAAATAGTTTTTTACTTTGCAAGATGCGTAAATAAACTTCAGTAACAGCCGAGGCCGTTAAAGATCTCCGAGGCGATGAAAAGGGCTTACGCATCGTGTATTGTATTCAGTTTTTCCTTCTTCCCCCATCGCATCAATATTTTTTTTTTGATAAATGAAAATTAAAACTAAAACCGAGCCTGAAAATTGGAGTTTGTGAGAACCTTAATTACCACAGAGCAACCATCAAAATAATTTCTCCGCGTAAATTTGTGAAAAAAAAAAAAAAAAAGGTTGGTAAAAATATATACAATTGTAACGTTTAATGGTGGTCATTTTCTGACTTCTACTTGCACACTTTTCATCTCCAAATTTCCAAAAACTGTTAGTGGTACCCAATTTGTCCTCATTTTTAAGTTTTCGTCTATAAATTTTCTTAGACAATTTTTTTTGATGACGCTGAATTGTTTTCAAAACCTGTTATTTTTTATTAAGATTACGTGAATGAATTTGCTAGTGGTTAGTAAATTTGATTTTCGTAAGGGGGAGAAGGAAAATATTTTTTGACTTCAATTTGTTGAGAGATTTATTTTAGGTTAGATATAAAGGATTGGGGATCCGTATTTAAAGGTGAAAGTTCACAAAGGCCAGTTGTAGGAAAAACACACTTTTTTGGACAAAGTGTTACTTCCAAAACCGTCAGGAATGCAGATGGGGTAGGGTTGCTTATTACGATGATTATAAAAATTTGTTATCAAATATTTAAAGAAAAATTACAAGTGGTGACGACAGTAATTTACCAAAAAATGCAACCGGATGAAGGTTGTGGTAATATTGCCAACAGCCCTTTCTGGGATTGGTAGATTTAAAAGTCTCACACCTTTATTATGCAAGCGAAAATGAATTCTTCTTTTGCATTTTACAATAACTTATTGTCGTTGGCATGTGACATTTTGTGTGGCACGTATTCTGAAACATTTTTTTACGTTTTAGTCTATTGAGACTCATCGTACTGTAAGAGATAACGAGGGTAATGAAGAAACGACGATTACGCGAATATCAGGTGATAAAGAATATAGCATTACGAAACGTAAAGATAAAGAAGGAAAAGAGGAGATCATTGAAAATCTGGTAAACCTAGATGAAAGCGAAAAGGATAAATTTTTCCCTCAACAAAGAAAACCACCGGAATTGGATAACAAACCTTGGCCGTTTTTCGACAGGTTTTTTTAAATAAGTATATTGTAGCCATGTAAATAAATAAAACTATTTATTTGTAATAATTTAATAATTCTCTTCATTCATTATTTACATACATTTCCTCACTTTACAATATTCTACAACTGATTAAAAAGTAAATAAATTTATTGTAAATGAAATTTCAAGCCAGATTGGTTCCAGTCCGTGTATACTTTGGTTAAAAATAAAAATTAAAAGAATACTTATGATACATAGTGCACACCCACGATGGAATGTCATTTTCGTATTCAAAATATGTAGTCTTCCCACATTTTTCTCTTCAAAAAATATTTACATTTAGTTATAATCTGTTAGGTAAGCTAGAAAATAGGCCAATATTTCTACATATCACATTTAAATACAATCCGACCGGAGTAACAACACAAACGAAACAAAAATTGCACAAGCACTGCAAGTAGAGGCCCAAAGAAACAAAATCTCAAACCATGGTCAAGAATCAGGTACGGCTGTTATTACACTACTGAAACATTACTCCTGACCGAAGGTGTCGGTCTCTTCAATCGCGTAAGTCAACTTTTCCACCAACTGTTCGTAACTTTTGTACGGCGGCAGATCAAGACGGTTGAAACAGGTGTGCGAACGCGGTAACCACGACTCCTTCCCAACTTTCTCAATGCAGAATTTCTGGGGGCCGTTGGAACCCATCAGTTCGGCGAAGCCCCCCACAGGCACCCGACACGTACCCGTCACGAACTGCAGCAAGCGGGCGCGTTTCTCATTGTCCGATTGACGCACAAACTGAAAAAAATTTTTTTTTTTAAAGTTTACAGCGGGGTCAATGCTGACCATGTGTCAAAGAGTAATACAAACCTGCCAGAACCACACCACCGGTTTGCTACTTCGTGTATAGTGCCTGTAGATGGTGTGTCGTTGCCAATCGTCGACGTCTATCTCCTGCATGCCACAAAGCAGCAACTCCAACTCCCTCTCGTCGAAATATTTTAACCATTCTATAGGCACGACTTCGTTAAAGCCGTCCAAAAAGGCTTGGGTTTGCTGTTCTATGCCTCTTGTCATCCTCCATTCGGTCATTAATGTCAAATACTCTTCTTTATTTTCTTCCGTAACTTTCTCCTTATCGCCATTTTTCTTCAATTCGTGATGCACAACCTGACCCAAAACTTCAAAATCGACACTATGGTACAACTCTAAGCCACACTCATCAATATTATTTTCTTTGATCCAAACCAGCGAATTGTAAAATTCAGGGTCTATACTTTCAATATCTTTCATCACGAGTTTCTTCCCCAACATTCGTTTGTAGAAAGGCATCGTGAAACCCGAATAAATGAATCTTCCGTGATATAAAGCCATGGCGATGAAACGACCAATGAATTTGAAATAAGTGAGATGTTCGGGGTTTACGTACGATGCAGGATTTATTTGTAAACTGTAATTGTTTTTGTTTGCGTACTCAAAAAGACAATACATCGGGTTCAAAGCTTCATGTGAGACTAAGAAGAACCATTCGCGACTTACGCCGCCGTAATCTAGACCTTCCTCGCCTTTGAAGATGATGTATAGGCGGCGACGGAGTTCGTAGGCCGGTAAGCGCATTATCGTATGGAAGGAGTCCTCGAAGAGGGTCTGACGAGACACTTGTATTTTTATGTGGCTTGGGAGAGCGTTGCTTTGACATAGGAACCTGGGAAAAAGATTTTTGTATTACATGATTTTTCCGAAATAATAAATACAAACATGTACCTAAACTGGCTGATCTTCCATTTGAACGACCTCTCATATGCTCTCGGCACCCCATACACCCCCTTGGGTCCTTTTGGTGCCCCTGGCCTCGGATCATCAAACGTCGTAGTCTTCGTATTATGATCAACAAAATACCTCTTCCCCTCCTCCGTATACCTAATTTCCCATCCGGGAGGCAGCGGCATATCATCTATAACCTCCCGTCCTTGAGTCCTCGGGTCCTCCCATTGTGTCGTCCGATTCTTATGATTGACAAAATACACTCGTCCTTCCGGTTGCACCCGCTTTTCCCATCCGGGAGGTAAGGCCCCCAAGCCATCATCTTCATCATCCACAACTGAGGTCCCAGGCACCGGCCCTGGTTGAAATTGCGGATAGAGAAATCTTTGGTTGCCTTGTTGAACAATATGCTGTCTCTGGCCTTGCCACTGCTGGAAGTGTTCCAACCGTTCCGAGTTTGGTCTTTGCCATGTGGTGGTGCGCGAGTTGTGATCGACATAATAGACCCTTCCGCGGGGGTCGCGCCGCATCTCCCAGCCGGGAGGCAGGGGCTGAGGCCGCTCCCACGACGTCGAACGTGTGTTGTGGTCCACATAATAGCGGCGACCGTAAGTGTCATATCGCATTTCCCAGCCGGGGGGAAGGGGCTCCTCGGCCCTTCCGTCTTCGCCGTCGTTACTGTGGACAGCATTGCCATTGGGTACCGTCGCCGGAGGGCCTATGGTGCCATTCGCTATCGGCGTGGTGGGAGACAGCGCCATCCGCGAGGTCCGTCTTTCCGCTGTAGACGCCCGCGACGCAGACGGAACCACGTTTTCCGTCCCAGCATTCCGCACTTTCGCTCTAATCCCGTTAAAAACGCTCCGATTGGGTAAGTTCTGTGCTTCACAATTGTTTTGCGTCAGGGGTGTCGCACTCGGTCCCGGCTTGTGAAACTTGGACATGTCGACGGTCAAGCCTTGAAACACGCAAATTAATTCGCCTACTTTGGCCGGCGATTCGTTCTTGTTTTCGTTCATGAGATCCAATGTGAGTTCAAGGTTTTCACAGCGGCCGTTGAAATGTTGTAACATTTGAAAAAGTTCGACTTTTTTCTCGCCCACTAGAGTGTCTTTGCGAAAATTGTTCTTGTCGTAAACGACGAAATTGATTTTCGAATGGGGAGTTACCAGAAGGGTGAAGGTTTCGTTCCATTTTGGTTGAGCAGTGTTTTTGACACATTCGGTCTTCCGAGGGGAACCACCGTCGACGCTGATTTCAACGTAAGTGGAAGGTTTGATGAAAGAGTTACTGCGGAGGTGGGCGCACTCGACTGAAAAAGTTTTTTTTTAGTTTTTTTTATCGGTGTGTTTGTAAACTTTGACTTTGAATGTACTGCCGATAAAAATATTTTTAATATATTTCTCAGGAAATCTTTTACACAACAATAAAAATCATAATAGTGTTTGAGATAACGGTTTTGTTTTATTTTCAAGTGGGTAAAAATATTTTTAATATACCAAATAAGTACAAACTAATCAAAATAAATCTACTTTTCGAGAGAATATTATTCTCTCTTATTGTACTAATAATAAGTACTTTTAGAGGTGAGAGTATTCAATCTTCCATTTTTTAATTATCGGCCAGCAAACTTGCCACAAATTTTAATAAAAGAAACAAAAAAGATTTTAAATAAATATTACAAAAAATACAGACAAAAACAGTAATAGAAAATGGAGAAATAATCAAACATCAAACATAGATAACATTATCAGATGACTAAATACGGGTAATGAGGCCAATGGTGGCAAAAATTAAAATCAATTAATTCAAACCAATATACGTAACGTTATTGCAAGATTATTATCCAACTCTACCAAATATAGAAAAGCGAAAAGTTATTACAAATTTTATAAAAAAAAAACCTCATGATAAGAGATAAATATTACCAACCAAGTCTAAATAAATGCGGTTATTAAATTTGATCAAATTTCCCCCGAGTTTTTGCTACAAAATGATGTCACGACTGGTAATCACGCGATAAAACCAAAATATTACGTTTTGTAGGTCACATCACAATAACAACAACAGGAAATGGTGCCTTAAAAATTTGAGACAAAACTCGGCCCGAAAAGTGGTGTTTTGGTTATTTTTTACACTCTGTATGTAACCTTGTAACATACAGGTGATATCTCGTGAAATGAGTGTTAAATAGCACCTGAATAAAATCAGTAGCATGTGTCGGCACTTTTTTTTCTGTCATAGAAAGGATTAGTCACATTGTTGACGCCAGATCGATAAAATTGATCCTAATTGTTGGAAATTCTCTACTTTTTATGACGCGTGTTTCTGGAACGTGTCTTCCCGAGTTCCATAATTTATGAAGGCCATAATTAATGCGACTTTCTCGTAATAGTCGACTTGTTCCCCTGCAATTCTTAATTCTAATTAAAATAATCGAGGCGTAGCAGACTATCGCAACATTTTTCACTTTCTAAGCATAAACAAATACAAAATCGAATCCGTCCACTAAATTAATTAGAAGCAATTGTGTAATTACCAATACCGCCAAACGCTATTAGAAATAAATAAAAACAAAACCTTGCAACACATGTTGTGTAATCAGGTGAAACTGTTGTCTTTAAGACCAAATATTTGTGCTCCTTATCGGAGATTTAGGAAACATACCTGTGATGCCGAGCTGATGGAAACCGGACCCCTGATCGGCTGAAGGGTCCATCATTTAGAACTGCTCATCGAGACGGAGATAACTAAAACGAAGCATCAGCTGAGACAACATTTTTGGACCAAAAACATTAACTTCACGCATTAATACCGGAACAAGAAACTTACTTGTGGTGGCCTCACTGCACTATGAAAATGTGATAAAGATGATAATTTAAACAATAGGACGCTTGAATTTTGATAAAAACATAAAATTTCAACGACAGAGTAACCAAGTAATGACGTAAAAGTGATAACAGTATAATCACCGACACGTTAGAAAAAAAACAGCCAAATTATTTCACAAACGATTGCGGGGCACTTTACACTTTAAATTAAGAGTATCATGAAGACTCCACACACTTTTTCACACACAAACATTTGTTATTTACGAACTGACCGAAAATTGGCCTCCATGTAAAACACACACTCCATTCTCCAATACGCGCAATGTTGCCAACWGGAGAAGACTAAAATCACTGATTAATAAGGATTTTGGACAAGATTACGCGAATTGTTTATGTTATTATGACCCCGTAAACTAATTTTAGGCTTGTTCAAACTTGCTTTACAATTATTTACACAAATAAGCCTGTTTTAACTAATTAACTGGGGACTTTAGTCGTATTGTTGGTGACAAGTGTCATTACTGTCATCTAATTGTCATTTTTCCACGTGTGTCAACAAAATGGGGGTTGGAGACAAGAAAATTGAATATTTAGTTGTCGATACGACTGCCTTTATTCAAAATGCTCCATTACAAGTATGTATACTAATAAAAATCGTCTTTATAACCACCATTTTTAGGACGTTGCAGAAAAAATGGTCACTTGTCAGAGTGTCGTTGATGAAATTTTGAACAAAAGACAACTCAAACGATTGGTTGTTTTGCCTTATGATCTACAGGTCAAAGAAGTTTTTCCGGAAAATATCAAGATTGTGACAGAATTTGCGAAAAAAACCGGCGACTACCCCAGTCTATCAGCTACCGACATTCAAGTTATGGCTCTGTCGTATCAGATAGAGAAGGAAATGGTTGGGGTGGAACACTTGCGTAGTGAACCTGTTTTCCAGAGGACTGTGAACATTACTACAGGACCAACTCGTGACTTACACCCAGATGTGACAGGGTTTTTTCTACCAGGACATACAAAAAAGATTGAGGAAACAACAGACGAACCAGAGGAGTGCAAAGAGACGAAGGGAGAAACAATCGAAATTGAGAAATTGCAGGAGAAGTTCGAGACAATTCAGTGCACGGATGAGGAATCAAATGACGATCATGACGTTTTGGTGTCAGTTGACCACACTAGCGACATCTCTGACTCTAATTCCGAAGATGACGACGACAGTGGCTGGATCACCCCTTCCAACGTTGTCCAAGCCAAAAAACAAGTCAACTCCCAACTCATAGAAGAAAAACATGTGAAAGTCGCCTGCATGACCACTGACTTCGCCATGCAAAACGTTCTCAAACAAATGAACTTGAACGTAGCCGCCCTTGACGGCCGCATGATCAAACAACTCCGGACTTACATCCTCCGTTGTTACGCATGTTTTAAAACTACGAGCATCATGACGAAAAAATTTTGCCCCAAATGTGGCCTCAATACGCTCAAAAAAGTTGCAGTCTCGCTAGATGAAGACGGAAAACTCCAAATACACATAAACGCAAAACGTCCTCTAACGGCTCGCGGCAAAAAATTCAGTTTGCCTCGAATGAAAGGGGGGAAACACCCGAATAACCCCATTTTGGCCGAGGATCATCCCATGCCCCAGAACAGAGCGAGTAAATTGGCAAGAACTAAAATAAATCCCTTGGATGATGACTACATTGCCGGTTTTTCTCCTTTTGCAGTCAGGGACGTGACTTCGAGGTCGGCCCAACTGGGCATACGGCCGGGACAGGAAATAAAATATTGGATGCGGAAAAATCCCAACGAAGCTCGCAGACGACGAAAATAGTTTTATTATTAGATATGTTATTAAATAGCTACAAAGGTTTGCCTTTTCTTTTGTTATTGTACCTCTTGCGTGAGCATTTCTGCACACACGTAACCACGTGATCATCTGTCAAAATCAAAGTGTAACTGTTATCACCATTGGTATAAAAGTGGTGTTCTTCCCCGCGCCACGCGATCGGCGAGTCCGAAAAGCCTTGGACATATAAAGCCGCCCAAAGACACCCCTTCCCGGCCTTAAACTCGCTACAAAAACCTGTTAAACACAATTAAAGACACCTACATCGCGTTACCTGAGCCTGTGATACAACAGCGCGATTTGATTGGCGGTGAAAAAACCCCTCCACTGTAAAAACCTGACTTGGCCGATCTCTCGCTTAGGTTCGGGCGTTTCGTACGTTGTAACGTAATCATCAGGAGCACCATCTTTCACGTTTCCATTCAAAGCAATCATTCCTAACCACTCCACAACTTCGAAGTGATTTTCATCGGTTATTGTGGGTACGTCAATGGAGCATATGATATTCGAGGTGTTTTGAATGGTACATAATTTTGTTTTGTAACCCAAATCGTGGAAATATCGGACTACGGAAGAAGGGCAAATATCCTCACTCGGGGGTTGCCACGTGACTATGACGTCAAGCAGGATATTGTCGAGACAAGCTTTCGTGCGTTCGTAATTGGGTTTCCCCGGTTTGAAACATTTCTGTTTCAGATCAATGGTGACAACTGGAATTGATCGCAAAATAAAAGTCACTAGTCCACATATTAAATAAAATATATTATTTATATAGTACGAGTATAAATACGGTTAATTCTGATCACAACACTTAGGATTTGTGCATAAGAGCGTGAGGGTTAGTAATATGAGAGAGTGGGTCGTATGTCTAAATCAAAATTATTTGAATAAATGTGTTGTTTGAAGTTTTTTAATTCCTCCATACTGATGCCTTGCCAACTTTCTAATTCAGAAAGCACCCGAAGGTTGGTACAATTTGCCAGTAGTAATTCAACTGTTTTCATACTCATATCACTACTATACAAAATCCGCATTTCTTCTAAATGTTTCATTGGATTAACTGTTAAAATGTTAACAATAGACGAATGCGTGATGCCCGTTGATGACCCTAAATGTATATTCCTGATATTTACAGCGTGTAGTAGGATAAATTCTAAGTGAGTTCGCGCACAATCCACCATCCAAAACAACTTTTCTAAATTTTGAAAGGGTTGTACCTTAAGCCTACTCATATTAATCTCCGAACTATCCATAAAATCACAGTTGTATAAAACCAGACTTTTAAGTCTTGGACAGAATTGACTAATATCAATCAAAACATTTAAATCAACCTCCTCGGCATGCTCCAAATGCAAACTAATAATATTATTACCCCTAACTTCAAGTAACTGTTTCAAATAATCTCCATAAAACGCACACGATAACAACTTTAATTCTTTCAAACAATCAAGTGACGTCAGAATTGTCAGATCGGTCACTTGCTCATCGTGGAACAAATTAATATACTCGACTTTGGGGAACAAATCTACTAATAATCTCAAAATTTCCGGGAAAAGCCCTCTTGCGTGTATTTTTCTTAAACCGAAAGGCCCACACGCCCCACTCTGATGCAACATTTTGATTACGCCCCCAAAATCATCGCACCGCCCAATATCCTGCAATTTATCCAATCCACGGAGAATTTGCGCCAATCCGAGAGGCGTGACCGACGTCCGATGCAACTGCAACTCTCTCAAATGATTGCATTTGAGTAATGAGGGTATACTCCGATCGGTCACCGACCTGGACGACGTCACGTCCAGACACTGGATGAAAGGACAGTTGTCCCCCACCACTTGGATAACCTGATCCGTGCAATCAAAACACAAACACAGAGATCTCAGATGCTTCATCCCCGAAATCCCGTCCACTATGTACTTGTCGTAGTCGCTCGTCCGCCAACCCCCGGTAGACGACCCCAAGTTAAGGACCTCCAAACCGGTCATTTTCGACAGGTTTTTATACAGGACGTATCGCATTATTTTGGGCCATTCGGTAAAATCGATTTGTTTCAACAGAGGGTTTAGGACGACTTCGGTGAGACTCACGACAACGTTCATTTCAGTGAGAAAGGCCGACATGTTGGTGTGGGGGTAGTAGGTCTTTTTCGTTTTCTCGATTAGGCCTTTGACGGCATTTAAGACTTCGCGAGCCATTGTCTCATACAAGTAGTAAGGGACGCTCGAAGCTAGGAGCTCGTTGAGACAGTCAAGACAACTGTAGAGTACTGATACGATTTTTTGGGGGTCATGGTAGTACTGGAGTTTGGTGACGATGGGAGACGAGAGAGACACCACTAAGCTGCCGACGCCTCTAAGGCTCAGAGTTTGCAGAGTGGGGACGTGCCGGTGTTTCGGCATCGTCTGAAACACACCAGGGGGCTTCAGGGGGATTGACACACAATGCGGAAGGAAGAAAACGGCTTACTTGTTCTAAATGCGACTACTAGGGCTCTAAGCCTAATGTCAAATTTGATGAGTTTGACATTAAATTGTGACAACCTCGTTAAGGTTTTTCTTTAGAACAAGCATTTATTTTATTTGTTTCATTTATTACGAGATTTTCGATATTTTTCTCATAATTTTGGTATGGAACTATAGTCTTTAACTTACTGTATCTCTCCTGCGTCCTGTGGTGGAAATGTGAGACTCGCCCTTCAAGACCCAAGCTCTGATATTCGGACTTATTTAAACTCAAGATGAGTTGACCCGTGGGCGTGATCGCAACGCAGTTATCACAATCAATTCGCGTGTTAACACTCAGAACATACAAATTGCCTGTAAACAATGACGATAAACAAAGAAAGTGAGGTTACGTAGTGACTTGCCGCTATTTATAAAATTGTGAATAAAATCCCTTGCAACAAAATCGCTTATTTTCACGTTAATAAGTTTGTAGTAATCACAATCGTTGTTGAGAGCTTGCGTTAAGCTTTCTGGCACTTTCGAAGTATCAGGCAGGATAACAGACACCTAAAACGCTGAATGAAAATCGGCATTTTGGGGTTGTTTCAGCTTACCAAGTGATTGTAAATAAGGCTATTTACTGTGTTCAAATGATTGCTCTCATTAATGCTGCATTTTTGCGACGAAAAGTGTGATTCTGGTGCCTTGAAATTGAACACTTCAGGGCACAGCATTCTATTATATAACTTTTAATTAGATTTGTAACGTAAGCACTGGGAGACGTCTCAAACGGCTGATCTTCAAAACGCCAACACAGACATTTTATTACGCAGTCTTTTACATTCTTTCTAACAGCTGTTCCGGGGGGCAGGAGGTTGGCAATTGTGTAACCTTGACATCACAAAAGAACAGGTTTGCCAATTGTAGGAAAATAAATGACCCCATCCACTTTCATTTTCACCATCATGTGATTACTAGCATGCTTTACTATTGTTTAGTGATTAACTTTAAACCACGGCCTCCTTGATAAAAAGATAGACTTTCGTCTATCCGGCCTTGCGCGTGGGAAAAATGTTTGTGTTTGACATATGACATAAAACGGGAGTAGGGCAGAGTCATCTTCTGGTCTTAATTAAAATATTTAGATGTGTAATGTTGGTTGCATATCTTCATAAAAAATTTCAAATATTTAAAATTTTTAGAGTGCTTAAATTTTGACATTCAAAAATCATTTATCGACAATATTCCTTATTGTTGTCTTTAGTTTCATTAATGAATTAAACGTTGACTTGAATGAAGAATGCCTTCAAGACGAAAATGCTGTATTTGCAAATCGCAAGATTTAAAAGGAAAATCGTTTCATTATTTTCCTGCTAATATAAATTTGGCCTCTGAGTGGAAAGCAGCAATTGCACCTTATATTGGTATAAATACAAATTTAATTATGCCAAATCACAATAAATGTTTTTAGACCATAAAAATTTATCCGAATATTCAACTGTTTGCAGTGCACATTTTAAACCGGAAGATTTTTT